GTTGGCGTAAAGCTCAACATTCAGAAAACTAAGGTCATGGCATCTGGTCCCATCACTTCATGGGAAATAGATGGGGAAACAGTGGAAACAGCAGCAGACTTTCTTTTTTTGGGCTTCAACATCACTGCAGATGGTGACTGCAGCCGTGAAATTAAAAGACTCCTTAGAAGGAAAATTATGACCGAACTAGATAGCATAAAAAGCAGAGATATTACTTTGCCAACAAAGGTCCATCTGGTCAAGGCTATGGTTTTTCCAGTGGTCATGTATGGATGTGAAAGTTGGACTGTGAAGAAAGCTGAGTGCCAAAAAATGGATGCTTTTGAACTGTGGTGTTGGAGAAGACTCTTGAGAGTCCCTTGGACTGCAAGGAGATCCAACCAGTCCATCCTGAAGGAGATAAGTCCTGGGTGTTCATTAGAAGGACTGATGCTGAAGCTGAAACTCCAATAGTTTGGCTACCTCATGCAAAGAGTTGACTCATTGGAAAGGACCCTGATGCTGGGAAAGATTGAGGGCAGGAGGAGAAGGGGACGACAGAGAATGAGATGGCTGGATGGCATCACTGACTCAATGGACATGAGTTTGGGTAAACTCTGGGAGTTGGTGATGGACAGGGAGGTCTGGCGTGCTGCGATTCATGGGGTCGCAAAGAGTCAGATACCACTAAGCGACTGAACTGAACTGAACTGATACTAAGTGTTGATGAAGATGCAGATAAAGTATAGCTCTCATACAATATTCATGGGAAGATAAAATAGTACAGCCATTTAGAAAACAGCTTGGCAGTTCTTTAAAAAGTTGAACATACATTTACCATAAGGCCTAGCCATTATAATTCATTTATTTACCCAAGAGAAATAAAAAAGCATATGTCCACACATAGACTTGTACGTGAATATTCATACCAGCTTTATTTGTAGTAGTCATTGGAAACAACTTAAATGTCCATCTGCAGATGAATGATTAACAGTGGTTAACTCTGGTATTTCATACAATGGAATATTATTCAGTAATAAAAAGAAATGAACTTTTGACATATGCAACGACATGGATGAATCTCAGAATAATTATGCATGGTGAAAGAAGCTGAACAGTAGAGTACGTACTTGTATGATTCCTTTCATAGAAAATTTAAAGTAACCTACAAATGACCGAAAGCATTATCTGCCTAGGAATGGAGGTGGGAACAGTTGAAAGAAAAGGGAGGTTAAGGAGATCTGAGAATACTTTTCTGGGTGTAAGTATATATTCAGTTCTTTTCTTTCTTTCTTCTTGTTTTGGTTGCACTCTGTGGCTTCTGGGATCTCAGGTTCCTAACCAGTGATTGGACACAGGCCACGGCAGTGAAAGTGCTGAGTTCTAACCCCTGGACCACGAGGGAATCCCTATGTATTTATACCTTGATTGTACTGATAGTGACCTGGGTACATACATATGTCAGAACTTATTGAACTGTGCACTTTCAAAGAGTATAGCTTACTGTATGTCTATTATACCTTTGAATTTTTTAAAAATTAAAAGTTTAAAGCCAATAGACAAATTAAAATAAAATTCTAAAAAATGTTCAGTCAGTACCGAAGTAGGCAGCAAAGGGGAATGACATATGCCATATGCACAGAAATGCATGCATATGCATTGTTAAAAGTTTGAAATTACATGAAATAAAAATGACAGAATTAAAGGAATAGACAATTCCACATAGGTTAAGAACTAGACCAAAACAAATGTTTTTTAGTAAAGACACAGAAGATCCAAATAACATGCTCAACCACCTTGACCTCGTTGATAATTATAGAATAATACATGTCAGTGTATGACAAAAACCACTACAATATTGTAATTAGCCTCCAACTAATAAAAATAAATGAAAAAAATTAAAATTCTCAGGTTTGCAAAAAAAAAAAAAAGAATAATACATCCAATAACTGCATCCAATAACAATACAAATTCTTTGCACAGGCACTTGATACATTCACTAAACTATTTTGGGTTATTAACTTATAAGGATTTTTTAACACCATGCACCTTATACCTTCTATACCCTAAATCTTAGGGAAAGAACTGAGCGTTACTATAATTAATTATGTGCTTAGATTATGTCATTATTTTTTAAGGAGTAATAAATGTGCTATTTCTCTTTATAAACATATTTATATAGCACATTAAAAAATTAAGTCATCAAAAATTCTTACTCAATACTAATATTTTTTTTCAGGTGCAAAAAATTACAAAGCTTCATAATCACCCCAAGACCACATAGAGCAAACATGAATGAAATTTCCCAAAAGGCTGAGGTAAGCTTTTTAATTTAAAAGTTAAAAAATGGGGGAATCATAGAGTTGACTGCACAAATGCTGGAAGGGCAACTGGTGGAAAGGTCATCCACAGAAGTTCATAGTAACATAGTGTCAAGATGTAAGACATAAGAAGAGATAAAATTCACAGGTTGGTCTCAAGAGCCCAGTATTTTCATTTGGATTCTTATCTAGGAAGCATGACTATAAAATTTTGTGTGTGATGGTAAAATGGATGTGATGGCTAGCATCTTGAGTAAATTTTAACATGATATATCTTAGAAGATATATTTAGAAGTTGTTTTTTAAGTATTAAAAAAACCAGTATTGATATATACTCTTATGAGAAATCAATGACACCATAAGTAGAAAATAAAATAGAGGATGTGTATGCCACAAGTTAATTAATCAATTTGCCATTATCACTAGGAGAAGGAGTTTGGTGTTCTGAGGTGATAAAGTTTTATTTACTGAAACTTCTTTTAGAGATCAGTGTAATTTTCAAAAAGATGAAAATAATTTGCTTTCCTGGTTTCAGAATGGAGGAAACCCGTTTCTCCAGTCTTTTAACAGATTCCTCCTCATTTGGAAAGCTTGTTTGTCATTTGGGAATTTCTCCTTAGAGCACATCCTACTTGGAATGATATAGCATTCTCACGTATTTTCAGTGTTGGCTTAAAGAAGTTCTAGATGGGCAGTATAGAAGTAGTAACAACAAAAATCACTGCTTGTGCACAAAGACCATGGCTCACCTCAACCACAAATGAGAAGCAAAGGCTCTTCAGTTTTCTTCGTATTAGATACAGAAACAAGCAAGAAAATCAATATGTAAATTAGGCTTAAGTTTTTTGCTTTGTTTTCAACTTATCTAACTTACTAAAATTAGACTTGGTATCTTTTAAGCAAGCAATGTAAAATTTGAATCTTTAATAATGAAATAGGTCAGTAGAATACAGGTTGTTTTGAATTGGAATCCAGTCTTCAATGTTTATATTTTTCCAGCTTTCAGCTTCAGTGGAACACATACAAAATGGGACTTCGTTGCAATATATTAGTAACATTTTACTCTCATATTTTCTGCAATATCATCTTTCATACTTAGATTTTAGAAGGTATCTAATCAGATTCTTATACAAATAAAGGTTTCAAACTCATTTCTATATTCTGTTTTGATATATATTTCTTATATTGCTTATTCTGATCTATCTTTACCTAATTTCTTCCTTTCTTATTTTTTTTAACTTTCTTCTCTTTATTTTCTTCTAACGAAGATTCTGCTTTCTTCATCTAAACCTATACCAAAAACCTATGTGCCAAAACTTGGCAAGGGTGATGTAAAGGATAAGTTTGAAGCCATGCAGAGAGCAAGGGAAGAAAGAAATCAAAGGAGATCTAGAGACGAAAAGCAAAGAAGAAAAGAACAATATATTAGAGAGAGAGAATGGAACAGGAGAAAGCAGGAGGTTATTTTATTTTATTTTTATTTCATTCTTGTGCAAATATTCATTTTCATCATTTAAATTCACATTTTATTTATTATTCACATTAACCACATTTCATATTAACTGTACTTAAAATATTTTCTGCATTTATAAGCTAATTTCAAACTCTGCATATAATATGATTTAGTCTGAAGTTTGGACATGTTCATATTAATTTATTTACCCATCTAGATTAAAGAAATGCTTGCTTCTGATGATGAAGAAGAGGTATCTTCTAAAGTAGAAAAGGCTTATGTCCCAAAGCTAACAGGTAAGGCACTTGAGGGGTAAATTGTAAATAAAACTGCAAACAAGGAAACAAAACAAAATGTCAAACTTGTTTCATATATTCCTAGGAACTGTTAAAGGTAAATTTGCTGAAATGGAGAAACAGAGACAAGAGGAGCAGAGGAAGAGGACGGAGGAGGAACGAAAACGCCGAATTGAGCAGGATCTTTTAGAGAAGAGGAAGATACAGCGTGAATTAGCAAGAAGGGCTGAGCAGGTATACAATAGATATTAAGTCAGTAATTGCTTCAGAAACTAGTTGTACAGAGTAAAACTAACCAGTATGTTGCCTAATCAAAGTGTTTTATTATAACATAAGCCTATTAAATAGCAGCTAGCATGAAAGTAAGGTCTTAAGCACAATATTTAATATCGAATGCCTAGAAGGATAAGGGCAGAATGTGTCTATTTCAAGGTTGAGTACTGAGATAACTTTTGTTATATACTGTCTTATTCTGTCCACATTCTATATTTTTCTTGACACATTAGAAAATTTTACAAAGATATAAGGCAAATTCACACATAAATTATCCAGACATGTAACAAAATGCTGATCTTTTAATAGCAATAAAAAATGCTTGCTGGTTATTATCAAGCACTAAGGCTTAATTAGAATATCTTCCTGCTCAATTATTTGTAACATGTAACAAAATTAAGTCACATTTTATTCAATAATGGTATTATTAGCAAGTTGGGGATGGTAGTAGGAGAGGGGAGATACATGTGACAGTCATGTCCTTCATGTAGCCATTCCTGATGCCCATAGCCATGAAGGACAACCTAGAAGAAGAAAGACATCATTACTATGATTTTATAGAATCTCTTAATGAACTTGAAGTTCCCATATATTTTCTGCTCAAAGGATGAGACCTTAGAGGCCGGTAAAGATTTTAAAATACTCAAGAATCTGATCTAAGTTCCAGAAAAAGTTAATCTCTCGAAATGATTAATGATTGTCATGACATAGAAACTTGAAATTCTAATAGTCAAAATTAACATTTTATTAAGTAAAGAACTGATCAGTTCACAAAAATTTCTCTAATATATTGATATTTGTTTTGTATTATAAATGATCTGTAGTCATAGAGTTGAAAAAAATGCCAGAAGACAGTTATATTGCTTATTTACTTTAACCTTATCTATAATGTAGGATCAAAAGAGATGATTAATATACTGATTTTAGTGAGACTAAACCAGTACAATAATGGTATTTATCAGAGTTTTTATTAAGATTATATGAGTTAATAAATGCAAGCATTTAGGACAGTGCCTGGTACAAAGTAAGAGGGCTATAAATGAATGTTTCACCTAAATAGTAGTACATATAATTAAATGTCATGAAACCATTTTAGTTTTCCCTTCTCTCATCAACATTTTAACAATTTCCCTAATATAATCTTCACAGTATATTGTCTGTCTCATAACCATGTTTACTGTGAGGTTGTACTTGGCTCCTTTTCGCCTTTGCTTTAAGTGTCTTAAATCTATTTGCTGTGCTTCTTTCAGTTCCTACAACTCTTCTGAAAAAAAGTGACAGGGACTTCCCTGGCAGTCCAGTGGTTAGGACTCAGTGCTTTCTCTGCTGGGAGTCCAGGTTCGATCCTTGGTCAAGGAACTAAGATCCTACAAGCTGCACAGCATGGCCAAACAAACAAACAAAAACCCCAAACAAAGAGAAAAGTGACAAAGAAGGCAAAGCATATGCCATATTTGCATGTCAAGGAAATTTATTTACTCTGACTTTGTGAATAACCACTTTTATGGCACAAGTAGCCATTTGTGTGGTGTCAAATAATGATATATGCCAGATGAAATTATAGAAAAGAATTGGGATTTTCTATATTTTATTACTTCATATCTCTTTGTGTAAAGAGAGAATGGCATACTTTACCTCTGTCACCTCCAGTCATCAAAGATTAGGATTCATTTTGAAGTGAAATTTCAGAAGGGAGGACAATTATAAAAAAATGAACATTTTAGGTTATATGTTATAAAACATATCAGTATATATAATTATATTTATAATACAAATTGTAAAAGAACATAATAAAATTATAGTAAAATATATAATTAAAATATATGGTGCTTGGCAAGAAATAAAGAGTATACACATGGGGTTAGTCTACTTCTTTTAAATCTTGCGTTCTTTTCTAAGAAGCACTGATTACACACTAGACTTTGAGACCCACTACAACCCCATGAACTGAATATGCAGGCAGTGGTTTCACAAAGAATTATGTATGTGTTGAAGAGGTGAATTTGAATGTGATGAAGACATAGGGTACTCAGAACGAAATGGTAAAAAGCTAATCATGAAAAAGAACCACTTTAGTAACCGTAGATACTGCATGGCAAGAGAATCTTTGTTAATAAAAATTTTAGCCTATTGAATTATTTGAGAATATGTGGGTAGAGCAATATAAACCATTAATAGTAATTTCATTTTGTAAATATGGGAAATCTAATTTTAAAGCCTAACTAAGTACATTTTCCACTCAAATCTAATAAAAATTTATCTATCTTTGAATATAAGAATTAAAGCATGATATAGGTAAAGAAGAGTCTTAATGAAAAATCATTTTGTATAAGTCCATTACTATAGATAGGATTTTTGAGTCAGATGAGTAGCTGAATAATGTTTGAAATAATTACCAATTCTAAGATTCTAGATTATTTTTGTTGTTCAGTCATGTCCAACTCCTGGCAACCCCATGGACTGCAGCACACCAGGCTTCCCTGTCCTTCACCATCTCCTGGAGCTTGCTCAAACTCATGTCCATTGAGTTGGTGATGCCATCCAACTGTTTCATCCTCTGTCGTCCCCTTCTTATTATGATGAATTAAAAATAGAAATATTTTGTATACAGCATGTTGGAATCAAACACCAATAAAATTTGGGGGAGATCTTAATTTGGTATAATCTAGTTATCTTCTAGGGTATTTTGATGGACAACATTAACATCTATGAAAGTAGAAAAAGAGAAGTTATTAGTGGGAGACTGAGCTGTTAAAGAGAAAAGGGAGCAAGGAAGTTGATTTGGGAAGGTGCAAAAGGAGTTTTTCCCCCCATGAATCAAAAGGAAGTATTGGGAAGCAACTCTTGCATGGTAGCTTCTGAAAATTAGCACTATAATTGAACTGAATGTTTCAGTTCTCTGTGAATATATTGAGACCATGAATGCTTAGGCAAATTCATCTTTTTCCTTGTTTGTTGAAACCCAATGAAAAAAAAATTCTATCTTTTGTTGTTTTGATAATGGTTTAAAATGAGCAAAGAAGAAAGCAAAAAAAAAAAAAAAACAAAACACCAAACCAAACAAAGAAAAAGTCCTCCAAATATATTGGATTGGCCAAAAAGTTCCTTCAGTTTCAAAGTATAAAGAAAAGATACATTTTTCATTTTTACCAAGAACTTTATTGAACAACCTATTCACTATTTCATTCCACTACGTTTCTCAGGCAACTTCATAATTCCATCTTCCCAAAACTTTTTATCTTTTTGATCAAACAGCTGTCCCAGGTACCTTTTACAGTCTTTCAGGGAATTGAAGTTTTTTCCATTAAGATAACTTTTTAAAGACCAAAATAAATGGAAATCTGAAGGTGCAACAGCTGGTGAATATGGTGGATGAATCTGAACTTCCTAGCCAAGTTGTAACAGTTTTTGCCTGGTCATCAAAAAAACATGCAGTCTTGTGTTATCTTTATGGAAGATTATGCATTTTCTGTTGATTAATTCCAGATGGTTTTCATGGAGTGATACTTTCAGCTGGTTTAATTGGGAACAGTACTTGTTGGAATTGTTTGGTTTTCCAGAAGGAGCTCATGATAGAGGACGCTCTTCCAGTCCCACAATATATATAACATCACCTTTGGAAGGAAGACTGGCCTTTGGTGTGGTTGGTGGTGGTTCATTTTGCTTGCCCCATGATCTCTTCCATTCCACATTATTGTACAGTATCCATTTTTCATTGCTTGTCAAAATCTGTTTTTAAAATGGAACATTTTCATTATCTTTAAGTAGAGAATCACATTTGGAAATATAGTCAAGAAGATTTTGTTGTTGTTGTTGTTGTTTATGTGGAACCCAAACATCAAAGCAATTAACATAACCAAGCTGGTATAAATGATTTTCAGTGCACGATTTGGATATTTTGAATATGTCAAATATCTCACTCGTGGTATAACACTGATTGTTCTCAGTTAATGTCTTGATTTGATCACTATCAACTTTAACTGGTCTACCCAACCATGGAGTATCATCCAGCAAGAAATCTCCAGCACAAAACTTCAAAACCTACTTTTGACACGTTCCATCAGTCAGCACCTTCTCCATGCACTGCAAGTCTTTTGTGCATTTCAGTTGTGTTTTTACCTTTCTCGAGATAATAAAGCATTTTTATTCCATCTTCAATATTAAAATCGCTGCACGAAGTTCACCAATTTTTTAAGATTTTTTAAATGCACCCAGATATGACAACTGTCACAATACAATCTAACAAAATTGTTTCAAATGAAGTTAAAGGCAACTAAATGCTACTAGAGCCAGCTTACAGAAAAACCCAAATGAATTTTTTGGCCAACACAAGAGTTTACTACTGCAAGGTAATAAAAATCTGAAAAGGTGGTAGCACCAAGAAAAAGAAATCTGGGGTTAAAAAATTTAGAATTTTTTCCCCTATGCTCTCAATTTCTCACTTCTCACCATACCTCCTAGAACTTTTTATTGAGATTAACACAAATTGTGGGGTAATTATTATCACTCTTTTGAAGGGAAATAATTTTATAATTATTTTATTATAGGTCTACTAGAATTTTTCATAGTATCATTTATCATTCAATAAAAGTTTCATCATTTACACAGCAAATCAGTATAATAGATAATTCCATAAGAAAGCAAATTATTCTGAACAAAACTATTTACAATAAATTACTAAAATACACAATAGATTTATTTTTAAAATACAATTTGTTCAGAATAATTTATTTTTCAAGAAATTTGATATCTTAGTAAAATGCATAATTTCTCCCTTGATGGAGACTGTAGAAAAGAGGGATGATGAGAGAATAGGGATTAAACCAGCCCAGTACCTAGTATGAGCAATGTACAGCCGAATTCCCTTAGCCTGAGTGAGGAACAGACTACTTCCAGATTCTTTCACTGGTGTTAGAAATCAAATTAAAACAATAAACAATTTGAATTTTTACTTTCTAACTTTTTCATTTTCCCATTGTTTATGTTTCTTTTTCCTGAGACTTCAAACATTGTGCTATTTAAGTCATCTTTCTGTCATTTCTTACTCTGCTATGTACATTAGCTTGCTAACCACACTGGCCAAATGGAGCTCCCTCCTTTTGAATGAGGGCCTTTCCTATATAGATCTGGTCAAAATATACAATAAACAATTATGATTGTTTTTCCTTCTAAACTAGACATGTGAAAGCTTATACCTTTCACTGCACTTCATTATTGTGTCAGTTATATTTTGGCCATATTGTAAAATATAGTCATGATGATTATTTGGTTGCTAATGATAGGTTTTCCTTTCATTGTGGCAGAGAATGGAGAAATGTTTCTGTATCTCAGTTTAAATTGCTTGTTTATTTAATAACTGTTGGTTGTAAGCTCACAGCCATGTTGTAAGAACTTGGTCCGTTATTCAAATTCCAGAATTACAAAGGTAGGCTTTATTTTAATTTTTTCTTAATATAATGTTCCCAAGATATTAATATCAAAATGCAAAAACTAGTAGAAGGTTTAATCTCTATTTAAAAAGGACATAATTGGCTAATTTGGAGTAACATAAAAATACTTCCAAAATTCTAAATTTTGAAAATTTACCATAAATCACAACTAAATTACTTTTCAGTTATATGTTTAAAGCAAAACGCAGAAATCTGATGTAAAGTAATGATATGAAATTCTTATTCAATAGATTGAGGACATAAACAATACGGAAACTGAATCAGCACCAGAGGTAAATGGACATTTCCTTTGATGAAACATTCACCTAAAATTATCTGGTTCACAAATAGTCTTTCAATTAAAAAAATTAAAAGTTCTATTATGAATATAGCAACAAGAAAAAGGACAAAAATATTTTGCAAAGCAAGGTCATACTTTTGCACTTTCAAAGAATATAGCTTAGTGTTTTTGGAGAAAAGTATGTTTTTGCTCTCATGATTCAAGTAGAGGCACAAATCTGAGTTTGAAATACTCTGCCAAGACTATATATTTCTTGAACTGTTACTAATAGTTGAGACTGTTGAAAGCTAATGTTGAAAAATGCAGTTTTCTTTTCATCGTTTGTCTTCTTTCCTCAGAGTTCCTGATAGTTTGTTTATTACATACTAGCAGAGAGTACAGTATCTATTGCCATGAAGGAATGTTCAACAACCACAGCAGTTTTAGATCTCTTCTAATCTAACATACAAAGTTAAAGATCAATCAATTTGACGGTGTGCCTAGAAGTACAGACAAGTAAATTGGAAGCAGTTTTACTTCAGGGGCATGTGTTACAAATTATAATTCTTCACTTTGTTTTTGAAAAAAGTTCAGAGGCAATAATAGATGATGTAAAAGAACTAATTAAAATGAATTTCAAAAACAAGTTTAAGAATATGTGAATAGGACCAAATGCCAAAGAGTTTTGTCTATAATATAAATATTTTCTAGATCACTTGGAAATACTGTTTTTTTTTTCTCGCTAAATGTTGGTTTTATTAAGTATTTAAAAACTTACATGGAGAGAAAAGCCAGATGCAGAAAGCTTTCTTGTGTGTTTAAACTGAATCTGTCCACCATCAAATTGATTGAGAGTATGCTCACATGCACATTACCTTTTGTGGGATGAGTGCATGATAGCGAAATTCAGATAATGTCACATGGTTTTATCTGAACACTGTATTAACACCATCTTCTAGGAAAAAGGATGCTTCTTGAACCTTGTCAGCAATGGATTTCAGTAAGATTAATTCATAATGTACAATGAATTCAGAGAAAGAGCTATTTAATAGTAATCCATAAAAACTATATTTTTGTTCTTCATAGCATTGATAGCAATGTAATGAAATCCACCAATGATGGAAGTAATGTCCCATGGAATCTAAATTTTGATATGGAAGAAATATGCTAATCACCTATTTTATAAATTAGGAAGGAGATGAGTCACTGCTTGTAACAGTGGTACCTGTCAAATCACACAAAACACCTGGAAAAATAAAAAAGAATTTTGAAGATCTAGAAAAAGAACGAGAAGAGAAGGAAAGGGTCAAGTATGAAGAAGATAAAAGAATAAAATATGAAGAACAACGCCGATCTCTCAAGGAAGCAAAGTGTCTTTCATTGGTCATGGTAATTTTTTTTTTTAACAAATAAAAAGTTAAGTTGATTCAAATCATATACTTTTATGATTAACGGGTAGGTTTTCATTATGTTTTCTTAGGATGATGAACTAGAAAGTGAGGCAAAAAAAGAATCACTTTCTTCTGGAAAATTGAAACTGACTTTTGAAGAATTGGAAAGACAAAGACAAGAAAACCGAAGGAAGCAAGCTGAGGAGGAAGCAAGAAAACGTTTAGAAGAAGAGAGGCGTGCTTTTGAAGAAGCAAGGCGGCAAATGGTAAAACAAACTGATGTAACATTTATATATGTGGATTATAATACATAATTATAGCACATAATTATATATAATATTCATATATTACAATATTATATAAATTATATGTATAATATTATATAAATGTTACCTGTAAAGCATTCAATATTAAGGGAGGTAGCTGGATTTGGAAAGGTTCATTGCTATAAATTTAAGGAGATTTTCTATGTAGAACGGTCTGATTTTGAAATTGTATACATATTCCATATATAATATGCATCCATATTATGTTCTAATTTCCATTTTTGGATATTTTATCTAATATTCTCCAAATTTTTATTTATATAATTGTTATAAATATACAAAATATTTATCAACTCTTTATCTGTTAGTTCAGTCTGCAGTGTGTTTAGCAGCATGGTGCAGCACACTTTCAAGTCTAATCATAAGTATACACTTAGTGTCAATGTGTGTATATACACACACACATATATATACTGCACATACATGTGTGTGTAAATGTATACAATCTAAGTGGTTAAGAACATGGACTTTGGAGCCAGACTGCCTGGATTCATATATCTAACATTTATTAAATGTGTATCCATAGACAAGTTATTTAATTAACCTCTCTGTATCTTTCCTCATTTGTAAAATGGTGAAAATAATTGGGCCTACTTCTTAAATCATTAAATGAGTTAACACAGAAAGCAATTAGTGTCTAGCATATAAGAAGTGCCTTATTTTTTATTCATTTTTATTTTGTAATTTTTATTTTTTTGACCATGCAGTGGAGCTTGCAGGATCTTAGTTCCTTCACCAGGGATTGAACCTGTGCACCCTGCAATGGAAGTGCAGAATCCTAACCACTGGACCACCAGGGAACTCCCAATAAGTGCTTTAAAATCATTAACTGCTATCACAGTTAACAGATTTACCAACAAAAAATAAAACTGAAATAAGAAAACACTGATTCCAAATCCATTGCAAGAACCGACGAATGGAACATATATAATTTTTTAAGCTTTCAGACTTCCTTGATCAACTTTAAATAATGATGTTCTAAGGACTGTACCTCCAAAATTAAAATTTTCTAGATATTTTGTTTGAAAATGTTGTTACTTTTGGGCAGTTATAGTTGGATATCTACACATTTTAGATATCACTGGTGGTCAATTTAGTGAAAAGACATAGTAATATCATTAATTAATTAAATCATAAATTTCAATGAGTAATTAAATTCATATTATATTAATTATAAAATCATTAAATTTTAATTGTATATAAAATAGCTCCAGATATTTTACCCATTTAATTACCATAGTTCATAGTAAAAAAAAAAATCCATGACAATTACAGAATGACCTTATTTTATTATCAAAGAGACTGTGTGTGTAAACTTGAACCTCAATTAAAGTACATACACACACTTTTAAATAACGTGTAATTTTTCCAGCTTTGATTTTTTTGAAATCATATTAGATTCATATTTTTTTAATATTAGATTCTGGAATTAGAATATTAATCTAATATTAATTAGAATATTAGATGAAATATTAGATTCATACTTTTTGAATCATATAAAGGAAGGAGATTATGGTCCCCTATGTGAGTGAGGTGACTGAGTCTGTGCCTTTTGATTGATAATTCGTTCCTGTCTTTGATGAATCTCATTTCTTAATAATGAGTTGTTTGTTGGTTAGGTAAATGAAGAGGAGGAAAACCAAGACACAGAAAACATTTTTAAAGGGTACCGCCCTGGTAAACTCAAGCTCAGTTTTGAAGAAATAGAAAGACAAAGGAGAGAAGATGAAAAAAGGAAAGCAGAAGAAGATGCCAGAAGAAGAATAGAGGAAGAAAAGAAGGCGTTTGCCGAAGCAAGGAGAAGCATGGTAAGACAGCATGTGACTGCAGGCGGCCACTGGGATTCACCTTTTAGAGTATGTTAGGAGAAAGCATTCAACTGAGGGGAATACCCTATTATTTCTGGAAGTTGTGCCAAAAGTAGGGATGGCATATATGTTTTTAAAAGTCTCCTTTGGCATAATACCATCAGTTAAAGATGTTTGCTTCAGTACCATGTTGAAAATGTTCTGATTAAATTGCTCTGCCTAGCATATATTATCTTCCTTCTCTGAGAAGGTGTGTTTTCCAGAACTAAGTATCTAAGCTAGGAGGGAGGGGGCTTCCTACCCCCACCTTCCCTTCCATTCTCTCCATTCTTTTCTCGAACCTAGCCGAATTTCCTCCTTCCCTTCCTTACTCCTTCTTTCCTTCCCTCCTTTCTTTCCAAGTTCCATCCCATCAGGATACATTAAATGACCAAAGCCCTTTAATCACAATTATTTAACTCTCCAAAATGCTTATCACCACTCTGGATATTGCTATCCAACTTAACTCTGCTACAAACTTATACTTCTTATACCATTTTAATATTTTAAATATATAATTATTTGACAAACTCTATTTTTAAGTATGTTGACATGTGAATGCTGCACAATCTTCTTGAAACCTTTTCATTTGCTTCAGTCATATAATGACCTGGTTTTTTTCCTATGTCTGGGTGAGCTTCAGACACATATTCCAAGTGTTTTTTGGCCTCATTATCCACACAGATGCTTAAATCAAATCTGAGAACCTTAAGCACTTTCACTGCTCATTTGTGCCTCATATCCACTCACTCACTAAGTCTCATTTCCTATGTATCACTCTAAAAATTCCCCCATTTCCCACTGTTGTTCAGTTGCTAAGTTATGTCTGACTCTTTGTGACTCTGTGGACTGTGGCACACCAGCCTTCCCTTTCTTCCCCATCTCCCGGAGTTTGCTCAGGTTCATGTCCATTGAGTCAGTGATGCTATCTAACCATCTCATCCTCTGCCGCCCTCTTCTCCTTTTGCCTTCGATCTTTCCCAGCACTTCCTACTGCTACTACTATAGTGCAGGTCACTGTTACCCCTTGCCTCAAGCCACCTCCTAATTAATTTGCTTTCTTGCCTATAATCTATTCTTTCCTATAAAGCCAGGAAAGAAAGAAAGAAAGAAAGAAAGTGAAGTCACTCAGTTGTGTCTGACTCATTGCAACCCCTGGACTGTAGCCTGCCAGGATCCTCCGTCCATGGGATTTTTGAGGCAAGAATACTGGAGTGAGTTGCCATTTCCTTCTCCAAGAGATCTTCCTGACCCAGGGATTGAACCCAGGTCTCCCCCACTGCAGGCAGACACTTTACCTGAGCCACCAGGGAAGCCCATAAAGCCAGGAGAGTTCTCCTGATGAAACTATGGACGGAAGTTCATGACATTGTACAGGAGACAGGGATCAAGACCATCCACAAGAAAAAGAAATGCAAAAAAGCAAAATGGCTGTCTGAAGAGGCCTTACAAATAGCTGTGAAAAGAAGAGAAGTGAAAAGCAAAGGAGAAAAGGAAAGATTTACTCATTTGAATGCAGAGTTCCAAAGAATAGCGAGGAGCGATAAGAAAGCCTTCCTCAGTGATCAGTGCAAAGAAGTAGAGGAAGACAATAGAATGGGAAAGACTAGAGATCTCTTCAAGAAAATTAGAGATAGCAAGGGAACATTTCATGCAAAGATGGGCTCAATAAAGGACAGAAATGGTATGGACCTAACAGAAGCAGAAGATATTAAGAAGTGGTGGCAAGAATACACAGAGGAACTGTACAAAAAAGATCTTCATGACCCAGATAATCACGATGGGGTGATGGCTCACCTAGAGCTAGACATCCTGGAATGTGAAGTCAAGTGGGCCTTAGGAAGCATCACTACGAACAAAGCTAGTGGAGGTGATGGAATTCCAGTTGAGCTAGAATTTAGGCTGAGTTTAGGCTTTGGAATTCCAAAGCCTAAAAGATGATGCTGCATAAGTGCTGCACGCAATATGCCAGCAAATTTCTAAAACTCAGCAGTAGCCACAAGACTGGAAAAGGTCAGTTTTCATTCCAATCCCAAAGAAAGGCAATGCCAAAGAATGCTCAAACTACTGCACAATTACACTCATCTTACACGCTAGCAGAGTAATGCTCAAAATTCTCCAAGCCAGGCTTCAACAATATGTGAACCGTGAACTTCTAGATGTTCAAGCTGAATTTAGAAAAGGCAGAGGAACAAGAGATTAAATTGCCAACATCTGTTGGATCATTGAAAAAGCAAGAGAGTTCCACAAAAACATCTATTTCTGCCTTATTGATTATGCCAAAGCCTTTGACTGTGTGGATCACAATAAACTGGAAAATTCTGAAAGAGATGAGAATACCAGACCACCTGACCTGCCTCTTGAGAAATCTATATGCAGGTCAGGAAGCAACAGTTAGAACTGGACATGGAACAACAGACTGGTTCCAAATAGGAAAAGGAATACGTCAAAGCTGTATATTGTCACCCTGCTTATTTAACTTATATGCAGAGTACATCATGTGAAATGCTGGGTTGGAGGAAGCACAAGCTGGAATCAAGTTTGCTGGGAGAAATATCACTAACCTCAGATATGCAGATGACACCACCCTTATGGCAGGAAGTGAAGAAGAACTAAAGAGCCTCTTGATGAAAGTGAAAGAGGAGAGTGAAAAAGTTGGCTTAAAGCTCAACATTCAGAAAACTAAGATCATGGTTCTGGTCCCATCACTTTATGGCAGATAGATGGGGACACAGTGGCAGACTTTATTTCTTTGGCCTCCAAAATCACTGCAGATGGTGACTGCAGCCACAAAATTAAGACGCTTACTCCTTGGAAGGAAAGTTATGACCAATCTAGACAACATATTAAAAAGAAGAGATGTTACTTTGTCAGCTATGGTTTTTCCATTAGTCATGTATGGATGCAAGAGTTGGATTGTAAAGAAAGTTGAGCACCAAAGAATTGATGCTTTTGAACTGTGGTGTTGGAGAAGACTCTTGAGAGTCCTTTGGACTATGAGGAGATCCAACCAGTCCATCCTAAAGGAGACCAGTCCTGGGTGTTCATTGGAAGGACTGATGTTGAAGCTGAAACTCCAATACTCTGGCTACGTGATGCAAAAAGCTGACTCATTTGAAAAGACCCTGATGCTGTGAAAGATTGAAGGCAGGAGAAGAAGGGGACGACAGAGGATGAGATGGTTGGATGGCATCACCAACATGATGGACATGAGTTTGTGTAAACTTTGGGAGTTAGTGATGGAAAGGAGGCTTGGCATGCTGTAGTCTCTGGGGTTGAAAAGAGTCAGACACGACTGAGCAACTGAACTGAACTGTTCTTTAAAAAAAGAAGTTAATTTGATTTTGTTACTACTTTGCTTAAAAATTTCATATTTCCATTAAAGCAAAAATCTAAACACTATAATTTTAAAACAAATTTCTTTACAATCTTGCTCCAGTATTTTCTCGTTTCATTTTTTGATTCTTTGTTAAATCTGTCATGTTTGTTCCAGACATACTAAATTTCTTTCCATTTCTTCAAAATGCTATGCTCTGATCTCTGGAACTTCAAAATACTGTATGAAACACATTACCCCTCTCCTTTCCTTTCTCTGCTTTCTCCTATTAATATATTCCATTTCCTCTGGAAGCCTTCCCTGATAGTACAACTCCCAGAAAGGGTTCCTTTCATGTACTCTTAAAGCATTTTGTGTTCCCCCAGCATGGCAGTAGTGCTGTATTCTTGGTTCTTATGACTGTCTTCCTCCCTCAGTGAGGCTGAGACCACATTGAACACATGGCACAATGCATTCAGGTGTAACAAACTTCCTAAAATGCTTGTGGAATAAGTGATATTAAAACTGTCTTATGTCTATTATTAGGTAATCCTTGATTCACAGATGGTTTCTACACAGAAACCCTACAAACATTGTGAAAGCACCCCTACAAAATTGTGAAAGCACTTAATTTTTAGAGAATAAGCTGGTTCAGAAGCACTAAATGAGAAGTAGCTGCGAAGATTAAGAAATCTAGTCCTGGGGCAGATTTTTAGGCCGAATCTGTCTTTTATCATGATGTACTAGTGAGAAAAGTGCAGGGAAGGGAAATGTCATTATACCAAAACTCTAGTTTCCTAGAGACATTTCTATATTAGGAATGAGAAACTTTTTCCTTCATTTATGTGGTTTTCTTATCTAGGACCAAGTATTGTCATTTCATTGCTGCTCAGTTGCCCAAGTCGTGTCCGACTCTGTGACCCCATGGACTGCAGCACGCCAGGTCTCCCTGTCCCTCACCATCTACAGGAGTTTGCCCAAGTTCATGTTCATTGCATCAGTGATGCCATCCAGCCATCTCATCCTCTGATGCCCTCTTCTCCTTCTGCCCTCAATCTTTTCCAGCATCAGGGACTTTTCCAATGAGTCATCTGTTCGGATCAGATGACAAAAATACTGGAGTTTCAGCTTCAGCATCAGTCCATATTATAGCTCAAGTAGCTCATATATTATAAAAAATTTGGGGGGTAATATGTGGATTGTAAAACTATATAAACATTGTTTCTGAGTTGAACTGGTTTTGTGGTAAAGCCTGTCTTTTATAAAACTTGGAACAAATAAATAATTACCATTTGTTTTTTCTTATTGAAGTGTGTAGTTCAACCACAGGGACATAATTTATTTATTTATTTATTTATTTATTTGATTTTAAAAGGCTTACTTTTATTTATTTTTTTCCATTTATTTTTACCAATAAAAATTAAAAAAAAATAAAGGGACATGATTTAAATGAGAGGTTTATGTATGTACTTTCAGGGAATAGAATTAGGTAATTGCTTGTCATGCAAAATGTATTGCAGTCAATGACTTAAAAGCAGAGTTTTTGCAGTTTAGAGACTGCCTGTATACAATGATATTGTAATAATAAAACTGCTCTTTGGGAGCTTACCTTGGTGTCAGGCACACTGCAGAGTGTTTCCAAACTTTATGTGATTCATGACAATTCAATGAAAGTTGTCGCAGATAAGGAAATTCAGATCTAAAGAGGCTATGTAACTTGTCTATGGTTGCAACTAAATGGCAGTTAGACATGTAATTTATAAAATTACGAAAAGGTAGTCTAAATAGTTATTTATAATTTTATTAGACTTCTCAAGTTTTGAATCTCACCTTTCCCATATAGTATTTGTATCAACTTTGGACAAGTTGCTTTTTATTGCCTTAGTTTCCTCATCTATTAAATGGGGATATTAATAACACCTACTTCATATGGTTATAGAAAAATAAGTCAATACATGTAAAGTGCTTAGAATTATACCTGGCAGTTGTAAGTATTAACTATTATTTATTTTTAATTAGCCTGACAGAAAAAAATCAGTATAATAAAATCACAGCATTAAGTGATTATTGCCTGATTATGAAGGGATCATAATGATAACTCATTCAGTTAAAACCATGATTTAACTGAAACGCTCTATTTTAATTACCAGAATTGAGGTTCATTTTACTTTTTAAAAATTTTATTTATTCGACTGTGCCAAGAGCTAGTTAGGGCACGTAAGATCTTTGATCTTTGTTGTAGCATGTGTGATTTTAGTTATGGCATGTGGGATCTAGTGCCCTGACCAGAAATCAAACCTAGGTAGGCCCCCCACATTGGGAGCATGGAGTCCCAGCCATTGGACCACCAGGGAAGTCCTGAGGTTCATTTTAATTCAATTAAAAAGTTTTCCCAATATTAGAACATCTTTTTAATTTTTTAATGAAAATTTTTGTTGTTGCTCGAGCTTCTTAATGTCTAATTCAAATCGTGTGCTCCATCTCTCAGTTGTGTCCGACTCTTTGTGATGCTGTGGACTGTAGCCGGCCAGGCTCCTTTGTCCATGGGAGTCTCCAGACAAGAATACTGGAGTGAGTCGCCATTTCCTCCTCCAGGGGTCTTCCCCACCCAGGGGATTGAACCCTCATCTCTTGCATCTCCTGCATTGGCAGGTGGATTCTTTTACCACTGTGTCACTGGGAAGCCCCAATTCAAATTACTCATAGTAAAAGTCAAAGTATTTATTTGTGTTCATTGGAATGGAGACTAGATGGTCACCATTTTCTGTGTTACTACAAAATACTTTAGTCTTATGTTTTCTAATAATTATTACTTGTTTGTTTTATATTTTTAAAGAGAATTTTTGTTTTTTAGTTCAATGTGAAATCTTTCTATTCAAGAGATATTCCCTTTTTAGTATGTATAATTCTGGCAAGAGTGATAAAATAATTATTTTAAATAGGTAGTAGATGATGACACCCCAGAGATGTATAAAACAATCTCTCAAGAATCTCTTATACCGGGAAAACTGGAAATTAATTTTGAAGAATTATTAAAACAAAAAATGGAAGAAGAAAGACGACGAACAGAGGAGGAGCGGAAACATAAACTAGAGATGGAAAAACAGGAATTTGAACAACTGAGACAAGAAATGGGAGAGGTAAGATTTTAAGAAATATCCATTTATATCCCACAAATATCTATTAATCTAAGTATTTCCCATACATTACCTTACAGTAATTTTCTAAGTATTATTATTCACATAAAGGACATTCCTATGAGGCACTTGGTACAAGTTTTAGCATAGTTGAGTTGAGTGTACCTTTCCAGCCTGCTATAACTCTACTCCTGCTTGCTAGTTTGAAAAATATACAATTCCAAGCAACTGAGATATTACATTAGTACTTAAGTAAATATTTCTTCCTATATACTCACAGTTGTGTGTGATTACACCATGACTGAGAACTGTTGTTCTAGAGTGCTTAGTATACTCATTTATACTTATTTTCCTTGAAACAGAATTAAACTGATCATCAAAATAAAAACATACAAGAGTACCACGGATGCTAATAGGAACATCAGTTTGGCAAGTCTTTGAATCATTTTACAGGCATACTACATTTCATTGTGCTTCACTTGGTTGCACTTTACAGATACTGCATTTTTTAACAAATTAAGTCTGTGGCAACGCTGCATGGAGCAAGTCAGTGGACCCATTTTTCCAACATTTGCTCACTTTGTGTCTCTGTAAAACATTTTGATACTTCTTGGAATATTTCAGACTTTTTCATTATTATATATGTTATAGTGGTGTGTGATCAGTGACCTTTGTTGTTACTATTGTAATTGTTTTGGGCCACCACTAACTGCACCCATAGCAGATGATGAACTTAATCTACATATGTATTCTGTTCTGACTGTGTCCCTTACTGGCTTCCCCTCTCCTTGGGCCTATTTCATTACACAAAATTACTGAAATTTGGCCAATTAATGGCCTCTAAGTGTTCAAGTGAGAGTCTCATGACTTTCACTTTATGCTTGGTTGAGAAGCGATTTGTCTCACTTTAAAAGCTAGAAATGATTAAGCTTAGTGAGGAATGCATGTTGAAAGCTGAGATACGCTGAAATCTAGACCTCTTGTGCCAAATGGTTAACCAAGATATGAATGCAAAGGAAAAATTCTTACAGGAAATTAAAAGTGCTACTCCACTGAACACATGAATTATAGCAAAGTAGAACAGCCTTACTGTCATGGAGAAAGTTTTAGTGGTCTGGATAGAAGGCCAATGAACCACAACATTCCCTTAAGCCAAAGCCTAATCCAGGGCAAAGCCCTAACTCTCTTCAATTCTATGAAGAGTGACAGATGAAGAAACTGCAGAAGAAAAGTCTGAAGCTAGTAGAGGTTGGTTCTTGAAGTTTAAGGAAAGAAACCATCTCCATAACATAACAAGTGCAAGGTGAATCAGCAAGTGCTATTGTAGACGCTGCAGCAAGTTATCCAGAAGATCAAAGATAATTAATGAAGGTGGCTACACTAAAAAATAAATTTTCAATATAGGCAAACAGGCTTATATTGGAAGAAGATGCCACCTAGGACTTCCTTAGCTAAAGAGGAGAAGTCATTGCCTGGCTTTGAAGCGTCAAAGGACAGGCTGACTCTCTTGTTAGGGGCTAAAATAGCTGGTGACTTTAAGTTGAAACCACTACTCATTTACCATTCTGAAAATCCTAGGACCCTTAAGAATTATGCTAAATCTATTCTTCCTATGCTCTATAAATGGAACAATGAAGCCTAGATGACAGCACACCTGTTGACAACACTGTTTACTGAATATTAAGCCCGTTAAGACCTACTGCTCAGAAAAAAAGATACCTTTCAAAATATATTGCTCACTGACAGTGCACCTGGTCACCCAAGAGCTCTGATGGAGATGTGTGATGATATTAATGCTGTTTTCATGCCTACTGGCACAGCATCCATTCTGCAGTCCATAGGTCAAGAAGGAATTTCTACTTTCAAGTCTTATTATTGAAGAAATAAATTTTGTATGGCTTTAGCTGCCATGAAGATCTTTTTTTTTTTTTTTTTGTATAGTTCTTCTGTGTATTCTTGCCACCTCTTCTTAATATCTTCTGCTTCTGTGAGGTCAATACCATTTCTGTCCTTTATTGTGCTCATCTTTGTATGAAATGTTCCCTTGGTAGCTCTAATTTTCTTGAAGAGCTCTCCAGTCTTTCTCATTCTACTGTTTTCCTCTATTTCTTTGCATTGATCACTGAGGAAGGCTTTCTTACCTCTCCTTGCTATTCTTTGGAACTCTGCATTCAGATGGGTATATCTTTCCTTTTCTCCTTTGCCTTCTGCTTCTCTTCTTTTCTCAGCTTTTCTTTTCTCAGTAAGGCCTTGTCAGACAACCAATTTGCCTTTCTGCATTTCTCTTTCTTGGGAATGGTCTTTATCCCTGCCTCCTATACAGTGTCACGAACCTCCATCCATAGTTCTTCAGGCACCCTATCAGATCTAATCCCTTGAATCTATTTGTTACTTCCACTGTATAATCGTAAGGGATTTGATTTAGGTCATACCTGGATGGTCTAGTGGTTTTCCTTACTTTCTTCAGTTTAAGTCTGAATTTGGCAATAAGGAGTTCATGATCTGAGCCACAGTCAGATCCCAGTCTTGTTTTTGCTGACTGTTCAGAGCTTCTCCATCTTTGGCTGCAAAGAACATGATCGATCTGATTTCAGTATTGACCATCTGGTGATGTCCATGTATAGAGTCTTCTCTAGACATCCTGGAATGTGAAGTCAAGTAGGCCTTAGGAAGCATCACTACGATCAAAGCTAGTGGAGGTGATGAAATTCCTGTTGAGCTATTTCAAATCCTGAAAGATGATGCTGTGAAAGTGCTACACTCAATATGCCAGCAAATCTGGAAAACTCAGCAGTTTCCACAAGACTGGAAAAGGTCAGTTTTCATTCCAATCCCAAAGAATGTTCAAACTACTGCACAGTTGAACTCATCTCACATGCTAGCAAAATAATGCTCAAATTTCTCCAAGCCAGGCTTCAACAGTATGTGAACCATGAACTTCCAGGTGTTCAAGCTGGATTTAGAAAAGGCAGAGGAACCAGAGATCAAATTGCCAACATTCGCTGGATCATCGAAAAAGCAAGATAGTTCCAGAAAAATATCTACTTCTACTTTATTGACTATGCCAAAGCCTTTGACTGTGTGGATCACAACAAACTGTGGAAAATTCTTTAAGAGATGGGAATACCAGACCACCTGACCTGTCTTCTGAGAAATCTGTATGCAGGTCAAGAAGCAACAGTTAGAACTGGACATGGAACAACAGACTGGTTCCAAATCAGGAAAGGAGTAAGTCAAGGCTGTATATTGTCACCCTGCTTATTTAACTTATATGCAGAGTACATCATGTGAAATGCTGGGCTGGATGAAGCACAAGCTGGAATCAAGTTTGCTGGGAGAAATATCACTAACCTCAGATATGCAGATGACACCACCCTTATGGCAGGAAGTGAAGAACTAAAGAGCCTCTTGATGGAAGTGAAAGAAGAGAGTGAAAAAGTTGGCTTAAAGCTCAACATTCAGTAAACAAAGATCATGGCATGCGGTCCCATCACTTTATGGCAAATAGATGGGGAAACAGTGGCAGACTTTATTTTTGGGGGATCCAAAATCACTGCAGATGGTGACTGCAGCCATGAATTTAAAAGGCTCCTGCTCCTTGGAAGAAAAGCTATGACCAACCTAGACAGCATATTAAAAAGCAGAGACATTACTTTACCAACAAAGGTCCATCTAGTCAAAGCTATAAAGAAAGCTGAGCACCAAAGAATTGATGCCTTTGAACTATGGTGTTGGAGAAACCTCTTGAGAGTCCCTTGGACTGCAAGGAGATCCATCAAGTCAATCCTAAAGGAAATCAGTCCTGAATATTCATGGAAGGACTGATGCTGAAGCTGAAACTCCAGTACTTTGGCCACCTGATGTGAAGAACTGACTCACTGGAAAAGACCCTGATGCTGGGAAAGACTGAAGGCAGGAGGAGAAGGGGGATAACATAGGATGAGATGGTTGGATGGCATCACTGACGCGATGAACGAGTTTGAGTAGTTTCTGGGAGTTGGTGACGGACAGGGAAGCCTGGCGTGCTGCAGTCCATGGGGTTGCAAAGAGTTGGATACGACTGAGCTGAACTGAACTGAGCTGATGGTGATTTCTCCGATGAATATAGACAAAGCCAACTGAAAATCTTCTGAAAAGGATTCAACTTTCCAGGTGCCATTACAAATATTCATGATTCATGAGAAGAAAGAGTCAAAATATCGAATTCAGAAGAGTTGATTTCAACTCTTTCAACTGAGGATTTCAACTGATTTGATTTCAACTCATTTCAACGTAGAAAACGTTGATTTCAACTCCATGGATGACTTTGAGGGGTTCAAGATCAGTGAAGGAAGTGACCGTAGATGTGAAACAGCAAGGGAATATGAATTAGAAGTGGTCTCTGAGGATAGGAATGAATTGCTGAAATCTCATGATAAAACGTTAATGAATGAAGAGTTGCTTCATATGGGTGAGCAAAGAAAGTGGTTTCTTGAGATGGAAGCTACTCCTGATGAAGGTGCTGTAGAAATTGTTAAAATGACAACAAAGTGTTTAGAATATTGAATAAACTTAGTTGATAAAAGTGCTACCAGTTTTTAGATTGACTCCAATTTTGAAAAAAAAATCTACTGTGGGCAAATTGGTATCAAAGAGCATTGCAAGCTACAGAGACATGATTCACAAAAGAAACAGTCAATTGTTGCAGCACACTTCATTGTTGTCTTATTTTAAGAAATTGCCACAGCCACTGCACCCTTCAGCAATTACCACTCTAATCAGTCAGCAGCCATCAACACTGAGGCAAGAATATCCAACAGCAAAAAGATTATGACACTGAAGGCTCAGATTAGCATTTTTAGCAATATTTTAAAGTTAAGGTATGTATTTTGTTTTTTTAGACATAATGCTATTGCACACTTAATAGACTATAGTATAGTGTATGCACTGGGAAACCAAAAAATTAATGTGACTCACTTTATTAAGATGTTTATTATGGTGGTCTAGAATTGAATTCACAATATTCTCAAGGTATGCCTGTACTATAGACTCTACAGGGCCAGCTTCATGAGCATGCACCTTGTGCCCACATAGGACCCAGATTCAGAAGGGTCACACTTAGGATTTAGTGCTCTGAGGTTGTCTTTGAAACTTTACATGTTTATCTTTGAATCTCTGTGTTACAAGTAAAGTAGCTGGACAGTGGAGCTTGTACTAGAGTCTGGGGGCCTTGCCTCAACCACTCCTGATTATGTCTCTCTGCTTGTATCCATGGTGGGCTCTTGACACCTCTTCTCCTACCTCCTGATGCTGCAAAAACCCTGTTTAACCTTCTTCCTACCTCTGGACACTTCTTTGCTCCATCTGGATGGCCAAGCAGTTAGAGGGGAGGGGAAGGGAGGATGCCAACATTCTACTGTCACCTTAGGCTTCTGGCTGGGCAATGGGCCACAGAAGCAACACAAGCAGCAGTCTAGGATGCATGCACAACCCCATTTATTGGGGTGAGGCAAGCACCCCAACTCAACTAGGACTAGTAGTGTAATGGCATGTTTAACAACTGACTCTGGGGGGACTTCTTGCCAGCTCCTGATCTAGGAACTGAGTGGGTTCCTTCAAGGAGGTTACAGCCTCTTAGAAGCTGACTCTGTCATGGGTTGGAGCAATGGACTTGTAGGGATATTTACTTCCTTGCCCAAATCGACCAAGAGACTACAAATGCTGTATATATAGTTAATAAGACAATATAATGAATATGCTACAGGAAAATACTGCAAGGTCTAGCCTTGGAATTTAAAAAAGAGTAATAGCATTTATCTTATAAAGGAAGCTGAAAATGAATTGTCTGTCTAGAAAAATGAAGTAAACTAGAATATATTTTAGTATACTATTGAGAAGTAATCTAATTAATACATGGCAAGTTAATTGTCAGACATTATGGTGCTACTCCGCTATGTCTGGGAGTTTTCAAGCAAGTAGAAAGCCAATTTCAAGATTACTCAGATTGTAACTGATTAGCCAACCACTAATTTTGATCAGTGACCTGGGAACCACTGTGATATGATACAATGTCATAATTGCTAATTTCTGCTATTTTAGGAGTTGCTCATTGTCACCCAGATAGACCAAAATGTGGAGTTGGTATGAGAAATAAAACTTTTTTCCTTTTGTTGAATCAAAAGATTAAGCCTCATGTCAAAATCATCCACTGTAGCTCTCCCTGCATACCGTTTGCTCCTACCCAAACCCTGTCCCACCTTTTTACTTCTCTGCCTGGAACTCTAGGTCTTCCCCAGGAAAAGTGTACCAGGAATAACTGCAATATTTTACTACTCCATTAGGATTTAGTGTAAGAAGTATACAAATATTTTATATTTGTGAAATACACAATATTTTGTGAAAAGCAAAGGAAAAACTTGAATAAAAAGTATTCAAGATACAATGGTATAAAGAACTGGAGCCTGATTTTCACTGACTCCTTATCTTTCCTGGCAGAATATAGAGAATACAAGTGATATGTAGCAAAATGTAAGGATTTTATCACACTGTGTCTGTAGAAATGCTTAATTCAGAGTATTGAGTGATATTTGACTATCATCAAATCAAAGGCAGGAGTAATTTTTAGAGATTCTGTGGCTCTATATAGAGATGAAAAAATCATGTCCAGTGGACTGAGAGACCAGGCAAAAGGCCACACAGTATCAGAGTCAGAATTAGAACTTCTCTCAGCCCAGTGTTTTTTAAAATTTTCTTTACCTTCCCCTAAAAGATTCCTCTACAATTCCTCATAAAAGCTAATCTTCACATGCATATTTCAGTTTTAGCAGATTATAATGGAATATTAATGAGCTTTTCAGCCATAGTCTCTAGTTAAGTAGTATTTTAAATGAAGTTAAGATGTTATCTGAAGTCTTACATTTGTAGCACTACTTTTTTATTAGTTGGAGGCTAATTACTTTACAATATTGTAATGTTTTTTGCCATACATTGACATGAATCAGCCATGGATTTACATGTATTCCCCATCCTGATCCCCCCTCCCACATCCCTTCCCACCCCATCCCTCTGGGTCTTCCCAGTGCACCAGCCCCGAGCACTTGTCTCATGCATCCAACCTGGGCTGGTGATCTGTTTCACCCTTGATGATATACGTGTTTCGATGCTGTTCTCTCAAAACATCCCACCCTCGCCTTCTCCCACAGAGTCCAAAAGTCTGTTCTGTACATCTGTGTCTCTTTTTCTGTTTTGAATATAGGGTTATCGTTACCATCTTTTAAAATTCAATATATATGCATTAATATACTGTATTGGTCTTTTATCTTTCTGGCTTACTTCTCTCTGTATGATGGGCTCCAGTTTCATCCATCTCATTAGAACTGATTCAAATGAATTCTTTTTAATGGCTGAGTAATATTCCATGGTGTATTTGTACCACAGGTTCCTTATCCATTTGTCTGCTGATGGGCATTTAGGTTGCTTCCATGTCCTGGCTATTATAAAACAGCATAGCACTACTTTTAATTAGTAAATTTAGGCATAGTTTTTAGTGGAAAATTTATAACATTTAGTTTTGATTTCAAATAATAGTGAGCTTTCTGGATAACTTATGTACAAACTAATTTTATGGTATTTAATACGTAAAAATCTTAATTTTTTTGAAGGAAGAGGAAGAAAATGAAACCTTTGAACTGAGCAGGGAATATGAAGAATTAATCAAATTGAAAAGGAGTGGTTCTATTCAAGCTAAAAATTTAAAAAGCAAGTTTGAAAAAATTGGACAATTGTCTGAAAAAGAAATACAGAAAAAGATAGAAGAAGAACGAGCAAGAAGAAGAGCGATTGATCTTGAAATTAAAGAGAGAGAAGCAGAAAACTTTCATGAGGTATATATATATATATAGTTTTATATTTAAGTTATAATACAATAATGATGAATTTAACAGAAGTAACAATGACTTTGAAATTGTTTGTACTTAAAATTAACCGTCAGAGAATATAATAATCTGGGAACTAATAAAGAGCAAAATCACATTAAGATCTTGAGACTTTGAAAGATTTCGCTATTCTAGTATTGTTCCAAAATTACTTTGGAACAGAGAGAATGAGAGCCTATGGTGAACATCAAATGTTTCACTCTAGCAAAAATAGCTCAAAAGTGAATATTTATTGGTACAAGTTTTTACTTTGAATCAGTAGGAACCAGTGTATATTTGAGTTAAACTCCAGGGATTATTCATACCTACTTTATTACTTAAAGATGAGGCCAACAAAGCCTATGTGATCTGCTCAAAGTCATGCTAAATCATTCAGGAACAGAGCCTAAATAAAAATTCAGGTGATGTGAATTTGAAGTACCTCCATATTTAAAATAAGGAGATGGAGATACTCACGAGATGACCATAATGTCCCTTCCAGTTTAAGGACTAGTTCCATGATATGAATATTGGTTTAAATAAGATCTGGAAAGCTTATTGTCAGAATTGCCATTTTTGTTGTATCTAACACATACTCTTCTAAAAACTCATTCTCACCAAATATTCAACTGTAATACAGTGTGAGAATTTGGGAGGGCATTCAGAGGAGATTGTTGAATAAAAACGATGAAACTATGGGCAAACTCCAGAACTATAAGCAATTCATTGAGACAGGGAGAATGTGAGCACAGCACAAGGTAATGCAGATACAAGCACAAGCAAGATGACCCATCTCTGATGCCGTGTTAAGTAACTTTATTGGGGTGCGCCGAAGAGACTTTTAAAACATGGAATATTATCACATAGGCATCTTCATTGCGTGATCATGTTGAAGCTTAAGATGGGTTTTGGATTCATGCATTAAAAAATTATTTGAAACCGTAAGTTTCAGGGACTGTTCTGGACACCGGGGCTACATTGGCAAATAAACCTGCATGAGTCCTGGCTCATATGGTGTTTAGAATCATCTAACAGGTGTAGGGATGTAAAATAATGACTGGGAAGTAAAGTCACATGGTGAAGTGGAAAATAGTTTCAAACAATTATAGGTGATAGGATAAAAAGTTGTAAAACTAGGCGTTGTTAGCTGAAGGGCCTTTTTAACCTTGCAGGCACTATGATTTTGGAACAATGTTAGTAATCAAAGTTTTAGGACAGAGTATAAAAAGCTAGCTTTAAGAATCCTGGGGTCATGGAGGATGAACTGGGACAAGGAAATGAAGTCGGGGGTCAAGGGAAAAAAATTGAGTTACAGGCAGGTGGTTGCTGAAAAGGCTAACATTTCTTCAAGACGAGTAGGGAAACTGTATGATGCTATAGAGAATTCAGGAAGTCTGGAGAGAGGTGGATGAACAAATTGTTTTGGACCTGTGAAGTTTGAGCTATATTTGGACAAGTAATGGCAGTCTGAAACATAGGCATTGAGCTCAGTTAAGAGGCAGGAGCTAGAGACTGTAACTTTTTTGGATACTATTTGAAAGTACAGATGTAGATTAAAGCCATCCTGAAAGGGTTAATAGTTGTCAGATGAATAAAATCCTGGAAAACATGAACATTCAGTGGATGGATGGGCCACAAGATCAGTTGATTCCTTAGAGATAAATCACAGAAGGTAAAGAATTTAAATCAGGATGCACTTGCCCCACTTCCTTTTCTTCTGGTTAAAGGTAGTAAAATCTCAGAGCAGTCATACCTAACCCTATAAAATTTGTAGGTGAGAATACAAGAAATGATGCTGGTGGTTTCTTGTTTTAATGCTGTTACTGGCTCTTGTATAAAACAGGAGATTAGGAGCTGGCTGACTCTCTAACCCATGAGGATGTCCTGAGTTGAGTTTCCTGTGAGGAACCTGACATTCTTATCTCAATAAACTAAGGGTCACTGAAATACTGTATTAGCATAGTTCTGGCAGAGTATAGTCAACTTCCAGGGTAGGACCTGTCCCTTCTGATCATTTCAGGTTTCCCTCTTTAGAAAATACCTTCTCTATATTCCAGACATCTTTCAAGGCCTAACTCATGTAAACTTACCTAATCTAAGAATTCCATCCCAGCTCCTGTAGCCCTTAACTGTACCAACATTTGGTACATAAATCACTTAACTGCCTAATAGTGTCTGATTTTCTAGTTTGATTCTCCAGAACCATTCTTTACATTCTCTTTTATCCCAAATTCACTGCTTAATTGTATTGCCTGTAATATCCACATGCTGGGAGTACCGATGCCCTACTAAGAATGCAATTAAAGAACAAAGATCATTCCATTTATAACGTAATTCTCAGTAGATCCATTTCCTGTTAAAACTTTTTTTTCCATTTATTTTTATTAGTTGGAGGCTAATTACTTTACAATATTGTGGGTTTTGTCATACATTGACATGAATCAGCCATGGACTGTTAAAACCTTCTAACCTGGCTTTACAGGGATTCAAGGAAAGGCAACTGTACTTAATAACTGTAAGACTATTCATAAACTTTCTTGCAGTTAACTTTTACTTAAATTTATTTTCTAAAGGCAGGTTTTATAACTACATAAGTAAAATTTATGAGTTTACACAAACTTTTATACAAAAATCTAGAAGGTGAGTTATTAAGTGGGAGGGATTTAGTCAGAACAGTAGTTGTGATACTTGCTGAAATATACTATCTTGAAGATTTGTTAAGTAAAGAATAACATTAAATATTCAGTGTGAACAAAGAGGTCCATTTTTCTTTCCATGTAAGTCTCAGAAAAGTCTGTTGAGATAAAACTGCAGTTTACTAGTTTGCTTATTAAACAAGCAGACCATTGTTTAGCATGTATTTTTTACCCTATTTAAAAAAAAATATAACAAGAAACAATCATATCAATAAAATTCATTAGCAATAATGGTAGTCTGGTATGTTTATCAACTGAAGGCTAAATAATGGCATGAAAAATAGAATTTACCCATCAAGTCTCTAATTATGTCTGATATCCTAGCATTTTCCAGTATCAAATAAAAACTGGACTCAGGAGAACCAGGAAAACAATCCAACTTAAACTTCTATATTCATTGGAGCCGTGGTACACTTTAAACTATAAAACATTGGTGAACCAATATTTTTCTTATACAGGCAATTATTTTATAGCTTATTTGAAAATTTTGTTTGGTTGCATAGGGTATGTGGAAGTAGTTTCCTCATAGTACTTTGAAATACGAATGGTGAGATTTCTAGATAAACTCACAAGAGTCTAAGGAGTTTAGCGACCAAGAGTCAACTACAACCAAGGTATTTTTGAAACCATGGGTTAACTGTACTCACAAAGACCCCATTCTACTAAAACTGCTCTCAAAGGCCAGTGAGTGACCTCATCACCAAATTGGTTTTACAGACGCACTACCTGACAGATCAAATTCTACCCTTACATTACCCCTTTATTTTCATGGCTGCCAACTCTTACCCCTAAATAAACTGACTCAGAACTGTACTCCCTCCGTTTCCCCAAGTTTCAGTCATTGCCTCTTTCAACAGTTGTCTTCCTATTTTATTCTACCTGTAAACGTTCTTCTTTGCCATTGCTTATCGATAAATTATTTACTGGATGGAATTCATCTGTTATTAGCAAAAAAGGATGAGGAAGAAATCATGAAGTGGGAAATAACAAAATTGCATTTCTGTATTATGTAGTAGGTAAAGAGTTATGTGGAGACTCTTATGAAAGTATTTTAATAATTGTTAATAGTGTATGATTTCCTCATCCTTTTCTGTTACTCAGTACTATTAACAAGCACTGTTGGCTGGGCAAATACACTAGGACTCTGGAGACAATGTGTGATATTTACACTGGGAGAATAATTCCAACTGTTAAAAAGAGTATTTCACAAGTGAACTTTCATCTTTCCTAAACTGGGGGATAGTCTGCAGTGCAGGAAATAGCATAACCCGAACATGTTAATTATCTTGTGCCTAGGCATCTCCAAAACTATTAACATTTTAGTTCTTGCTGGTTTTTAGAAAGTAAACAATTCTTATTCTTGGCCCCTTTTTGTAAAGGAGGAAGATGTTGACATTAAGCCTGCAAAAAAAAGTGAGGCTCCATTTACTCATAAAGTGAACATGAAAGCTAGATTTGAACGTATGGCTAAAGCAAGAGAAGAAGAAGAACAAAGAAGAATTGAAGAGCAAAAGTTACTACGTATGCAGTTTGAACAAAAGGAAATTGATGCAGCACTACAAAAGGTACCAGGCTTTCATATCCTTTCTTTACCAAAGATTTCTGAAAAACAATGAAATTTAAGAGGGGGACTAAAAATACATTTTAATAGCTTTCAAATCAGTGAAATGTTAATGTAAAACACACTTTATAGTAAGCACACTTACATGTTCTTTACTTTGGGGGAAAATATACCTACCTCCAAATTCTATTACTAAATCACTGTCCTGAAAACTCGACTACAGTATAAATGCCAATCTGAATGCACTTATTTTAACACAGAAAAGGGAAGAGGAGGAGGAAGAAGAGGGTAGCACCATGAATGGATCTACCATTGAAGATGAAGAGCAAACCAGATCAGGAGCTCCGTGGTTTAAGAAGCCTCTAAGAAACACATCGGTTGTAGACAGTGAGCCAGTCAGATTTACTGTTAAAGTAACAGGAGAACCCAAACCAGAAATTACATGGTGGTTTGAAGGAGAAATATTGCAGGATGGAGAAGACTATCAATATATTGAAAGAGGAGAAACTTATTGCCTTTATTTACCAGAAACTTTCCCAGAAGATGAAGGAGAGTATATGTGTAAAGCAGTGAACAGCAAAGGATCTGCAGCTAGTACCTGTATTCTTACCATTGAAAGTAAGAATTAATCACTCTTTGAATCTAGAACTTTCTATTTAAAAATTTTTTTCTGAGAAAAAAAAATCATTTTTCTTCTTCTCTTTTTTAGCTGACGACTACTAGGTCCCCTTCCCTCTCCCTGGAACACACCCTCTCTCTCCGACTTTCTTACTACATCCATCTTTTCTGTGGCGGGGCCAAAAAAGGAAACTGGAAGTACCACTGTGTTGACTTCTTATTCCTTTCCCTAACAGTCTTCAAAAAACAAGCTCATCTAAAAAATACCTTTTTCCTTTCCAAAAGAGCACCAGATTCATCACCCCATTATGCAGTGTAAGTTAATGTGTAATTTAATGGGGCAAAGGGGGGGAATTTACTCAATTATTCTATCAGAACCTATTACAAATGCTGTGTATGTTTCATGTTTACAGCAATTAAGTTTTAGAGAAATTATAAACAGGACACATTTTGCATGAATAGACTATCATTTATGAACTAATCACACCTAAAATTAGTCTGAAATAGATGAGTAGTGAATTTGGAACCTATCAATTTAAGTGGGCTTTCCCCTCAGTAGTGCATCATCTTGGCTGTTGTAGTTTCAAAGTCTTTCTGGAGCAGAGATGAGGGGATAGGGTTGTCATTTCTCCCTCTATGCAGAGAGAACACAAAACAAACCAAAAATTAAAAGACTTTTAAGAAACAACTGCCAGAGCAAATATGATGGATACCACTGCCTAATATGGAATGTTGGGAATATAAAACATGTATTTTTCAAATCTGTGTAATATATATTCAAGCTTACAAAAAGTAAATTTATGTTGTGACTTTCCTCAGCAAATTATATTTTAATGAGAAAACTTTGTATTAATAGTTCATGCAGGAGAAAACATAATCAAAGATTTTCATATTTAAGAGAATTAATTAGATGTAGGGGAAAATGACACAATCATCAATTTTAGTTTTTAAAGTGAGTTTGTAAATAATTAGCTATCATGTTCTATTATCAAGTTGTTTTATATTTTAGTTTTCTGGAAAACAATTTTATTTTACAATGTAAATCCATAATAAAGTCACTTCTGTATTTAAGAAAAGAGACAAACACTCCTTTATAATATTCACCAATGTACATTTATTTTTTTTATTGAGGAAACCATAATCAATACAAAATTACAGCAATCATATACCCCTTTACATACAATGGTATTAAAACAAACTAAACCACAGTTTGTAAAGTATTCAATTTACCTCAAGTCCAAGCTGCATCTCCCTAAGACACTGATCCCATCACAGTAGCCATTTTAAGCCAATCTTCTTTTTACACGGGTAGTTTCTGTAGAGAACACTTTTCTCAGGACGAAAATGCATTGAGCATGCATAAGAAAAAATATATATATGTGCAAATACATTTATGAGTTCCTATAAGGGGTATCACCGAAGAAAATAAAATCCTGGGACTTATTTGCTTTCTTAAAAGCACCAATTTAAAAAAATCCCTCAGAAGTTTATACTGTGGCAAGAAAACTCACGTGACTAAACAAAAAATAAGGTTATTTTCAGAGTCAAAATTATCTTTAGGTATTGTTAAAATACATTTTAAAGTGAGGCAGAATTTTCAGAAAATAAAAAGACATCTTTATTAACTAGTAATTTCTACAACCTTATTCTAAAGAACATAACTTTGCAGGTAGAAGTGGTTCTCCTGGCAAGAGTATTCAAACAAACATTATCACTTCTGAATATATTCCTATCTTCCTCTTAAGGTATTGTTTACTCCTACACAAACCCACTCCTGTAAATTAACCACTCAGGTATTTGTCTAAGAATATATTTTACAATGCTCATAAACAACTAGTATTAAATGACTAATTTTAGTATTAAAATCATTTTCATTTATTAAAAATAAAAGTTCACTTCCCATTTCTAAGAGAAACATCAAACTATAAGAATTCTAATTATCACCACACTATGAAATCTTAAAAACAAAAACATATTGTCAAGTTTAAGTGCTAAATAAGTCAATTTCAAGCCAAACATTGTCTCTACCACTCCTAACACCACTGCATTCAAATCAACTGGCTCACCTTTTCTGCTTTCCATTTATTTCAAGGTTAAGATTAGCGCCATTAAAAAAATGCCTGCAGTATCAATGAAGGCTTATGCTAATGAATAAAAAAATTCTCATGAGATAGAAACAATGCCCCAATATCTATTAGCATTCATATGTATTTTCTTTTATAAAAATGCAAACTACAACTAAGCAAAACTTGACAGGCTCTTAAGGTTCAAAGAGCTCCTTTATATTATCAATTTTAACATTGACTATTAAAACACATATACACACACATAAATGTGGTGCAATAACTATATAACTTTCAAAATTTAACATTTCATGGAACATTTAAGATCAAGTGAATAGCACTTTAAAATGAAAAGTGATCAAAAGCAGGTACAGTACACCCTGTATCATATATTACGTATGGGAAAACATTTCATTTTTCTCAGTTACGATTTGCCAATTTTACCTTCTACATTGAGCCCTTCTATGGTCCATGCTCATCGGCTCACCAATGGCATACACTCAAAGGATTCCTCTTTATGGGTAACTATCTCAGGACCTGATTTTATGAGCTATGATTTGGTGCTTGCAGCATCTTCAGCACTGTGTGTGAAAATGAAGGCAGTATTTTTTGAATATTTTTCTTTGTTGCAAAGATAAGCAGGAGTTTTAAAAGGATCAGCACATTTTAGAAATCGAATAAACAAAACTGATATGATGCTGCTTTAATACATTCATCTTAACTCAAAATATTTACCAGTTAATATTATCTATAAGAACACACAAACATTTAAAACTGGCAAAAAAATAAAATAAATGCAGCGTCAAGTTATTAAAAGTATTATAAATCAGAAAAATATTGGTTGCTATACAGATTATGAAAGGTTATTTGCTATACAGTTAACATTTCACTGATGCACATGCCTTTTATCAAACATACTGCCAGTATTTCTTTCGGTGTATATAAATAAGAGTTAGGATAAGACAACTCAGTTGTCTTAAGAAAAAAATGTCATAATAAAACTCTGACCCATAACGTCCTTACTGAATTGCTATAGTTCAAGAACAAGAAAAAAAGTAAAGACTCCATAGCTTTGGAGGGCAAAGAAAATGTCTTGTCAATCATTAACAGACTGTGAAGGCTGTTGAAGTTTCTGACCAAATGATCTCCTAAATCTTGAAAACTATGTAACTTTCCTTTTAAAATTCTAACAATTTTTCTATATTAGGGAAAAGATTATAAAAAGTTTGGATGTAGTTTAATTACAGCAGCAATCTACTCATCATTTTTTTTAATAAAAAGAAAAATCAAAATAAAAACATCACCTAGAAAAGTAAACAGTTGTTTGAACAACTTACAGACTTTCCACTGAAATGGTAGCATAAATAACAAAATACATTTTGGGGAAGCAGTAGCAGATTGCTTTTGAATACACAACCACAAAAACCTCACAGGGACAACATTAATGTACTGAAATATTTATTTATATATGTCCTTAGGTTGTGCTTACCTGTTGCTTTTTGCAGCAGAACCTAAGGTGGAAGGTCTGGGAAGGCACTGTGAAGTATAAATAATTGCACTGTTTGCAATTAATAAAGATTTTAAACCTTAAATGAATCAAAATCAACAGCCTCCAATTTGTGAGTTATGATACTGAATCCAACTGAAAACTCTCTCTTCAGTTTAATTAATAAATGCACCACTTTCCTAAAAGGTCATCTATAAAACAGTATCATGCAAAATAGTGAAACTGTTCACATCAATACCCTACTCTTAAACAGATAACTCCTTAACTATTAAAACTTCAAACTAGAACTACATATCCATATCTAAATAAGGGCAAGGGAAAAGTCACTCTAGGTTCTATAAGATAGTCAAAAACATTTCAAAATATCTACAATGAACTGTACCGCTATTTTCTACCCTATAAATAATCTCAACATTTATGTCCTGTACATCTTCCTTTTATAGCATATTCAGAACAACAAATGGTGCTCCCCTACCAATGAAAGAACTAGTATATCTATTTAGGAAATGGTATTAAAACCACTACATTGCTTAATATTTGCAAACTGAAAACCACCCTGTCTGATACATTTCAAGTCTTTCAAATTAATATATAAGATATGCATTATTTTACATTGAAAAGCAATATATTTTAGGAGCACCAATGAGTAATACTATTCAACTTTGTTAATGATGAGTTTTCTTTAGCTATAGCTAAAGCATATCAAAAATACTTACCCATTAAGCTCACTTAAAAAAAATACAGATCTATGAATATTCTATGTTAAATTAAGAAGCAGTTATGGTTTCCAAGATATAAGCACTGTATTCCAACATAATATTCAAACAAAGTACGGCATTTGCATTATGTGGAACATTGACAAAAAGATACTGTTGCAGTTCATCAATTTGTCATTCTGATGTACTTACAGTGCAATGCTCCTTGAAGGAACACAATCAAGGATGATACACAGCACAGTCCTCCTCACCCCTACAGAGCTAGTTCTATACTGGCTGGATCAAACCTGCACTTCAACAGACAATGGCAAGACAGACTGTATTTGCATGTAGTCTAATATATTAATATGCAAAGAGCCAACAAATATGCAAAGAGTAAAACAATGGATTTCAACAAAATATCAGAACTTCAGCATGAGTGTTATAGAGTAATAAAATGATTTCAAGTACATAAAAAAATTAAGTTGATTCAATGATTGGACTTGTGCATTTACAAAACGAAGCTTATCTATACTGCAAAAAGGAAAAAAAAAGAAAAAAGAAAAAAATAGCTCAAACATTTTCATACCGCAATAATGTTTCAATGGCAGATGCACTGTAGCTATACTTTTTGCATACTATTCACTTTTTCTACCCTACATTAGAAAGAAACACACTAATATTGCATACCTTGCAAAAGCTCCTTTACATGGAAAAAAAAAAACTGTTCTTATTATAGACTACTCATATTTACTATCTGAAAACTGTTTAAAATTAGTTATGCTGAAACAGTCTTGGAAATCAAGTAATTATCAAATTAAAAACAGAAAGGTTAACTGTTATAGCAGCAGTACAGGTCTGAAACAGTGGTCATGTATAAAAGGAAATTTCACTGTTAATGCAATGGAAGTATGCCAAAAGATCATTGTACACACATGCAGTTTTTAATCAAACAGAAGGAAAAAAAATGAAGATATCAGGATTACTTGTGCTGAAAACAGCCAAATACAATAAATGGAAAAGATCCTCCAATCTACTACTATACTGCAAGGGGGAAGAAAACATGCCAGTGTTTAAAAACTCAAATTAATATTTCATGGGGAAAGCTTATATATTTGTGTATATGTATCTTAATTTATCATTACTAAGAAATTATGAATTCTTTAAATACCCACATATCCAACTTACCGACACAGGAGGTTTCATATCATTTATTGTAAAGCACAAAACAGGCATTTTAAAAGTGAAAGTATACATTGAAAAAAGTACATTTATATCACAAAGCATTAACCACATAATAGTTGCAAATACATTTGCTGGAATGTGTACATCTACACTAAATACTAAAAACAAACCAATTTTCATTTCTACACAGAAATATTAACCTCCTATCAGTAGTGATAGATATTTTGTACATTTTCAAAAAAAAGAAAAAAGAAAGAAAGGAAGAAAGAAAGGAAAAACACTATTTAAACCAAAAACAAAATTAAGATCTTCATCAAGCCGTCTGCATCCATATATTTAACAAAGGTTTTTTTCCCCCACACAATGAAGCAAATACTGTATTGTCCACTTCTTATTATTGGCCCTGTGCAGAAGAGATACATAAGAAATACACAAAAAGTTAAAGAAAATCCTTTAAATGGAGCTAACTCAGGAGTGAATCCTCTAAGAAAGAAAAACTGGTTAATATAAATGGTGGTGGCTTCTTGCATGATTTGCAAATCCCTGGGGGAAAAAAGTTTATTTTTAAAATCAAAGGCATTATAGAAATATTCAGCACTCAGATGCCAGAAACAATATAAAAAACAAACAAAAAACCCAAACAATATACCACAGTACTTCATTTATAGTTTTGCCAGATAAAAATTTAAAAGGCAAACAGAATCCCAGACAAAAGTAAACATGCATAGAACATGACTGAAGTTGAAATCAACACATGAGCAAGTTTCTTATACCTGAGGTGCTGGAGGATGCTGCGGCATTCCCTGGGGACTTGTCTGGGCATAGTAGGCTGCTTGCTGTCTATAGTACTCAGCCCAGGCTGCACTATAATCTGGCTGACCACCTGGTGGAGCACCAGTAGGAGCAGGAACTGCTTGACCTTTTGAGAAAACAGAACAACTTTGTTGCTGTAACCACAATTAAAAGCCCCAAAGAATCTCATTTCTAATAAAAACAATACCTTGCTTCTTGTAATATTCCTCCCAAGCCTTTGAATAATCTTGTGTCTGCCCTTGTTGACCTAAAAAAAACCCCCTAAATTTTAATACAAAATTATATCCACTGTTAGTACAGGTTATAAAGACAAAAGCACAGAGGGTCAGAATTGCTCCTGTTCTATTTTTAATATTCCTTAGTGTCAAAAACTACTCTATAATTAAAAAATCAAAATACTCTTTAGTTTCTTTTTGCCATACTATCATAACTTTCAGTTCTTTAGCATTACTCTTTAATAAAAAACAAAACTATCTACATAGTTTCTTGATTCAGTTATAGTTTTTATGAACTATTCATATTCTAAATTGAGTCAGAAACATGCAGTCCACGGTTCCCCAATGGTTATGTTGGGGGGAATGAATGGACCACTATTTTTTGTAGTTTTTTTCTCCATTCGGATTTGTTACACTACAAGTTTTAAAATAAAATTAAAATCTTCAGTGAAGAGAAAGAATATTTCTTGAGAAACAAAAACCCAGTTAAAAGCTATTATTTTAAGATCTGGCCAAGATTTGTTGTTTCCAGATTAGTAACCTATAAACTATGTATAACACTAATCTTCAAGATATCTTTTAATTAATAAGATATTTACTTTTAATATGCTGTGCTCAAATGATAACAATTTTATTAAAAATAACCTGATGCAGGACATAATAATCACTATTGAAGAGGTTCTAAGCAACAAAATCAATGAAACAAAGCTCAACAGCTTTCAAAGAGGTCTTTTTTCTAGGTGACTTTCCTGAATTAAGAGACTGAGACATAATCAAATGTAATGCATGAAACTTGAATGGGCTCTGCATAAAAAAAAACAAAAACATAATGACAACCCCACCTCTCACACACAAGTAGCTACAAGGCATTGTTTCTGACAACCAGGGAAACTTAAATATTATTAAAAATTTATTTAGAGCAATAGCTTGCAACTTACTTTGAAATGGCTCGGGCACCAAAACAAGTATATATACACACAAAGTACACATGACAAGCTTTTTGAAAATGGTGAATCTGGACAGAAAACATACATATGGGTGTTTGCTGTACTGGTTTTCCAATTTTCTGAAGGTATTAAAAAAAACAAAAGTTGGAGAGAAAGAGAACCTAATTCTTCCTACTTAAGTCCTTTATTTGAACAGAATTTTATTTAGTTTGTAATTCATTTGGCTTTATGAAGTTATGACAGCCACACAAAAACTACTCAGAGAAAGCCGTTTTATGTTTGTTAGATGTGCCAACAAGGCAGTTTTAGAAAATAGTCTATCACCATCACAAAACTGGTTAAAGAATAAAAGCAACTGAGGAAATAAAAATTGAAGATGTATGACTTAAAAAACATAAGAAACTCCCCCTACTTATACAGGTAGCAGCAGAGAAATCCTATATTCTCTCAACAAAATTATCACACCTTCGTTTTCCACACTTTTTAGGAAATGAATTCAATATTTTTATTTTATGAGACACAATTCAAGTAAATCTAAAATCAGTCTCAGTATTTAGACAACTGCCAAATATCCTGGTACTAAGAATAAAAAAACCACACAAATTTTTTGAGGCCAAATTTATTTAAGGCAACAACAACGTCCACTTCAGGTTTAAAAATGGAACTAAACCTCATTCAAAGATACTCATTTTTAGAGTAGAAAAAACTACAGTATCATGGAGACATATCAAGAAAATATCAAACTCAAATGTTCACTGAAAAAGCACCCTCCAACTCAAATATTCCTGTGGAAACCTGAAAGTAAACACATTAAAACTCCAAGGAACATAAATACGTGGTTAAGTCATCAACATCTGACACTCCAATCTTGAAAGCATCCATAGAAAAACTCATTCCACTCCTATATGAAGAGCAAATGCGATTGTTTTTGCTCAGCTGCAAAGTAGGGAAAGAACTTTTCCCATCTAACCTGTTTATGTTTTGGCTCTTCCTCTAGCCTCTTGCCCTTTGGAAAGGCATGTACTTAACTTGTTCCCTTTATTCTTTTCCTCAGTTCAAAAACTGTTTTGAACTGGGACAGTTTAGTTTATACTTCAGTAGAACATTACTTAACATTTACATGTAACTTGACATTGTATGAAGTCTTAATTTCATTTCATTCCAGAGATAAGACTTACCACCCTAGAGTTCACATGCAACACTCCATTACAGCCTAAGAGACGGTTCTGCGTGAATAGATTCCATCCTCAGACACCTTTATCTTTCCCACAACCACTCTCTCCTGGCTCTTTTAAAGGCTTAAGGTATCATATAAGGGTTCAGAGTTCACCATATCAGAGCTTAACATTGAAAGGGCCTCCCTGAAGTCAAACTTATCCCAAAATGTCATCACTGACTCTCTTTCAAATAGAAACTTCCTATATCTCTATTTTGAAGCCCTGTTTCTCTTTAGGGAGTTTACTTCTTAGAAAAGTTTTCTTTCGTTCTAGCTTCAAAAGCGCACACATCCAGATTACTATCATTCCTTATATGGCAGCAATATGAATTTCTCAGTTTCTTTCATTAACCTTCAAGAATTTTCTTAACAGAAAAAGCTGAAAAGGCTTCAATGTCTGGGACAGTTCTCCTAGTATGGTGACAAGGGTACTGGATGGAAATCAGGACATCCAGAGTCCTAGGAAATCCCACCTCTGCCACTTGGAAGAGTAAAAATCTCTACAAATAAAGGAGTTGATTTGGAGATAAAGATCATTGTCTCTCTCTGGTATTCTAGTACTCTTTTCTTTCCCTCTCATTTAAAAACATCAAAGATTAAACTGATTAGTTTTATCCTTAAGGTCTCTTATTTGTAGCTATCCTAAGAAGGTCTTAAGTACAAGCAATGCACTTAGAAAATATCAAAGTGGTTAAGTAATCAATCATATATATATATATAAAATCCAAAACAAAAGAAAACTTACACAGGAAAAATAGATCTTGTAGCTATCATTAAGGGAGAAGGAGATGGCAACCCACTCCAGTATTCTTGCCTAGAGAATCCCGTGGACAGAGGAGCCTGGTGGGCTGCTGTCCATGGGGTCGCACAGAGTTGGACACGACTGAAGCGCCTTAGCATGCATTCATGCATTGGAGAAGGAAATGGCAATCCACTCCAGTGTTCTTGCCTGGAGAATCCCAGGGACAGAGGAGCCTGGTGGGCTGCCGTCTATGGGGTCGCACAGTCGGACATGACTGAAGCGACTTAGCAGCAGCAACAGCAGCAGCTATCATTAAAGATCACCTAACATTATTTAAGATTTACATTTAAGGGGAATCATTCAACCAGTTCACTTTGCTCATAAAATTAACAGCTTATACTTGCAGTGCTACAGAAAAATAACAAGTGAAAAGAAGCAAGGGTTAAGGAGGATCTTCAGTCAAACATAGTGTTTTAAGTTATTTCTATACCACCTTTTCCCACAAAGGTTTCAAGACAGACAAGCAGACTACCTCTATAATTACAGTTTTATACAGCAGTCAGCAGGGAAAAGAACACAACTTTTAAAAAGACAAAGTGAAATGTCTACCCTTAAAAATAAAGATTTGAATGGTTAGATCTGGCAGATTATACAACACATTTTGGGTGAGTAAAACGTGAATTTATTAAATACCTAAGTCTACCAACAAGGTTTGTTTTTACCCCATTTCAATATTAATGTAGGGATCATATAAAGCATACTGCCCATTGTGAAAATACAACTCTTTAACCTTTAATAATCATGCTACTTCATAAAAGCTAGAGTGACCACAGGTCATGACCACTATGTTGTTAAGGAACGATTTACTAATAGCATTCCCAGTTTTTCTCAACAGTATCCCAATTTGGGCAATAAATTGTGTGATCACCCTAATTACAGTATTCTGCCTTAAAATATTTTTAAAATTTCTTTTCACAGAATTTCAGTTGTTGTAGGTCTGCCTGAGATAAGCTGGGTCAAGCTGGCCCACAAAAACAAAACATTCTTATCACCAGTTATATGTACTTTGACATAAAGATTAATAGAATCACCATTCTGGAAATTTTTTTCTGTGAAAAATGGCAAACATTCTTTGGCAAATAATCCTGAAATTTACACTGAGAATCAATCACAAGTAGACTGTTATCTTATGATAAACCTATCACCAATAGATACTTTTCAATATCAGTGCAGAATGGGCAAGTTTGTATGATTAGCTTGTCTGTCATTTAATTTTAAATGACTAAGAGAATAAGTACCCGAGAAACAGACTGATCTATCCAGAAATACATCATTGGATTTGAAATGGTCCCTGAAAAATGCAAACTCAGGAGACAGGTTCAGAACTTGGGCCTTCTTAAGAGTTCCAAAGTCTGGTTCCACCACTCTGTAGTTGTGTGACTTGTTTCCCAATCTGTACATGTGTACATGCATACATGTACTGTACATGGACATATGTACTGTACATGTGTCAGTAGCCCCCCACCACCCCTACCCATGGTTTTGTTTTCTGCAGTGAAGTGACCTAAGGTCAACTGTGACCTGAAAATATTAAATAAACAATTCATGAAGTTTTAGACCGCACATCATCCTGAATAGCAGGATAGAATCTCATGCTGTCCCTTTACCTAGCATATCCCACCCATTAGTCACTCAGTAGCCATCTTGTTTATATTGACTGTCCTGGTATTGCTGTGCTTGTGTGTCCAAGTAACCTTTGTTTTACTTAATAATGGCCCTAAAGTGCAAGAGGAGTGATGCTGGCAACTAGGATATGCCAAAAAGAAGGCTTTTCCTTTAAGTGAAAAGGTAAAAAGCTATCTATTTAATAAGAAAAAAATTGTATGCTGAGGTCGCTAAGATCTACAGGAAGAACAAATCTATTAAACTGTGGCAGAAAAAAATTCATCGAAGTTTTGCTGTCACTCCTCAAAATCCAAGTTACGGCTACAGTGTGTGACATATGGTTGGTTAAGATGGAAAAGGCATTAAATTTGGACAAGGTAATTTTGAGAGAGGTCATTCATGCACACTTTCCTTCAATATAATTGTTCTATTTTATTAATGTTGTTACTCTCTTACTGTGCCTAATTAATAAACCTTGTAACAGGAAAAAAGCATAGTACATATATAGAGCTCAGGACGATCTGCACTTTCAGGAATCCATGCAGGGAAGGGCTTAGAACATATCCCCCCATGGGTAAGGGGGGCGGGAACCACCGTATAGTTCTTTTCACTCACAGGAGTTTGCAATAGTGTATTTGCAAAGTACTTTTATTAACAACTGTACTCTCCATTAGAATATAATAACCAGAAGGGTAGGACTCCTAGGTGTTACGCCCACAATCACATTCTCAGCATCTATTTCTATGCTTAGCATGTAATACACATTCTATGTTTATTGAATGAAGACAGCAATTCTAGGTGACTGTTTCCTTTTTCATATATGCAAATGTTATTTAATTAACTTCCTTTATCACTGTAGGTTACTTCTGTATCTGTTTATTTTGCAGCAAAAAATAACATTGCACACAACCAATTTTTGCTTGGTGCTCTATATTTTAGTTCCAATTAGTAAGTGGCTGATAAATGTGTTTAGAAATAAAAAAATTTCTTAACCACAATTTAAACAATGATTTGTAATGACCATGATACTTGAGAGAGTTCAGTGATTTTGGAATGTATCCTTCTACACATCAAGATTTTAAATTATTGAATGAAAGAAATCCAAGGTACTAAAACCATGGAAAAAACATGCTTTTTATAAAAACCTTTAACCTTTTAGTGTGGTATTTACCGAATATTTAAATTTAATAAAACGCATAAAAAATGAAATGTAGAACATACCCATTTTCTTGTAGTACTCTTCCCAAGCCTTGGTATAATCAACCTGTCCAGCTGGAGCTGGATTCTGCTGATCTCCTTATTCAGGAAAAACATAAAAAAATTATGATTAAGATTTTTAGAAAGCAATTTTGGCCCTCCTGGGGTTATTTTTGTCTATGTGTGAGGGGAGTTGGGAATAGTCTGTCACGGGGACTGAGGGGAGGGAAATGCTGTGTGGTAGTGGCATCCTTGCTGGTGCCAAAGACCCACCCAGGATTCTGGGGGAACAGAGATAGTGGGCAGAGAGATGGTCTATTTATCTAGAAGAGTAGTTATACTGAGCATGTAAGTAAATTCATTGGTCAAATAAGAAAACACACTGAAGATACCAGGTCTTTCACCATGTATAAGCATGGAAAACAGAAAAGCTAGGAAAAAACTTTCAAGTCTTAGAATAGAATTGCAGGTTATATGAATGTATAGTTTAAAAAACATATACACATATGGATATTTATGTATTTTTATATGTATGTAGGTATGCATGCATGTAAATTCATTTCCTAGTTCTGCACACTGAATGGAGCTAGTTGCATTAACACCTCAGTGACAACGAACACAACTATTTAGCTTCTAAATATCATCATCCACTAAAAAAAATCAAGGCTCCTTGGAAAAATGGTTAATTCAAGGGCTGAAGCTCCAAAAGCACAAAGTAAGCATCTTATTGTGCAAGAAAGCAGGAAAGTGCTTAAAGAAATGACAGGCATGTCAAAAGAATACAGGAGCCATCTTGAAGGTGCTCCCGACTGGCCAATCCTAGGGCAATCTGGCTAAGTTTAAAATATAACCTACTAAATCCACACTGACATAAAGAAATAAACAGAAAAAAAAGGAAAGCTCTTTCTTATAGTAAATATAGTAAAATACCACCTAATAAATGTAGAAAAAAATTATCATATTTGTAATTGAAATTAGGTAGGCAGTATCAACCAACGCTAAGGCCTTCAATGAGGAACAGAATCCTAAGTTTAGTTGAGAAATCTTAGAAAGTTTAGCTGTGGTGTTATGTTTTGATCAGAAAGGTAATTTCTCTTTGCTCTAATAGTTTTATAATTTGTACTAGTTCTTTATTTCTGTTCTCATTTGTTTTTAAAAAAGTTAAAATTATAAATCACATCTAATCAAACTGAATTGTAAAACTTCTACTGTGTCTTTAAGGAAAACAATAAAATTATCCCACTTGTCCTGCCAAAAAGAATAGAACAGTGGTATAATCACAGTATAACTCTTCTGACAATATTAATTTCAAAGAGAAAAATGGTGATTTTATAGAACCTTGGCAGACCTCATTCATTTTTTTGTGCTGTTCTTGCCATATTGTATGTAAGCAGGAAACATGATCATGACCTCATCTTCATGAGAAAAGGTTGAAGGGACCTATGGTTGACCCATCACAAAAGGTCTGTACTCTTTTGAAAGAAAAAGATAGGAATTATTTTTTATTTTCAATTGGTGAGAAACTGTAGGAACAACTGGTGAAATGGAGAAAGGGCTATGCCTTGGGATAGTAAAATATATCAGTGTTGATTAACTGATTTTGAATGCTGTGTGATGGCTATATATTTTTTGAGAAACACAGAAAGGAGTACTTAAGGGTAATGGGCCATTAAGTCTACACTTTGGTCTTAATGATTCTGAAAAAGACTAATGACAATAGATATGGACACATAAGATAGGGTGATGGAACAAATGGGGGGGGGATATACACATTTAACAGCTAGGTTATCTGGGTATTCTTTGTAATGTTCTTACAACTTTTATTGGTTTACCAGTTATCTCAAAGTAACTTGTTTTTAAAAAAGCGAAGGCTACTTACTTAAGCTATTAACTGAGTGTTATAAATATGGGGGTATTATACACTGATATACTTCATATATATAAAAAATAAAATTCTCTAGTTACCATAGTTACCTTGTCCATTGGTCTGAGTTGTAGTTGGTGCACCAGCAGGAGCTGCAGGTGGTGGCTGTGCTTGTTGCTGATAATAGTGAGCATAATAAGCAGCCCAGGCTGCTGAATTTGGATCCGTTCCTGTTTTAGCTAGAATAAACAAAAGTTATGCATTTGCATCTAAAATCCATAATCAATTAATCACACACATACCCCTCTCTAACAAATAAACAGAACTCCAAGTTAACTGGACATTAAAGAATAGAAGGTGAAAAAAAAAGGTGGAAACTTCCAAATTCTTCTATTATTTTTACTGCCATAATTATCTTTTATTTTAGAAAACTGAGGCTCAGATAAGTTCTTAGAAAACTAGCTTGTGGCAGAGTTGGGATAGGAATGAAGATCTTTTGGTTTCAAATCCAATGCTTTGTCTTAAACCATCCTGTGTGGTTTTCCTAAACCAGGTTTGCCTCAAGCACAACAGTCCTTATGAAGAATTTACAGGGACTAGCCCGCACAAGAAATAATTATTTTGTAACTATGAACTGTCGTTATCTTTTTTCAATGAAGAGTAAATTAAAAAATCTTGGAAAAAGAAATCGAGATTAGCCATATTTCATCTCATCATATTCAAGTGATTATCCTAAAAGATAAATCTGATATCACTGTCCTATTTGAAATTCTTTATTTCCTGGTGTCTTCAGGACTAATAAGACTTTTAAGGACAGCATATCATTCAATGTTTTTACCAAGATATTTGGACAGCCTGGCTTCTACTTTCCTTTCCAGCCTCTCTCTGCTGTCAGTATGTTTCCAATACTCAAGGTCTGAACACAGTAAACTGGCTGTATTTTTCAAGTCATCATGCTCATATCTGGGCCTTTCAGCATGTTATGCTTCCTGTGCACTTGATTGACCCTCACTCAATTCTTCATAAAAAACTGATTCATTAACAGTATGGGACTTTTCAGTCAGAAAAAGAAATCCTCTTACTGATTCTCTTACACTTGGGAGTATCATAGGATATTATATCTTTATTAGTTTATATCCTCAAGAAAAATCCTGGTAATTTCCTTAATCAGTCTATATCTATATGAAAACCAGTCTACACATATGACTAATACATACCAAGAACTTACTAAATTCATTCAATATAATATTCATTCATCATTTTATAGATAAAACAGAACAGTTCAAAACTTGCTTGCTATCCCATAATTAGTAAGTTGTAAGAGTAGGACTTATTCAAATCTCTTACCTTCTGAAGTCAAAGTTATGGGACTTACTACACAAATCTTTCATAATCCACTGGTTTTTTATAGGAAGATTTAATTCAGAGAATACTGACTTTATTGTCAATACAGGGTCACATTAAAATACCAGGGTATTTAACACAAAATCACAATTTCATTTAAATAAAATATTTTGGTTTTACGAGCAATATCTAATCCTAGATGCTATCTTTTAGCTAAATGGGTAAGTAACTTCTTTCCCAAAGGCACTGCTGAAAGCCACACTGAGTAATACCAATTCTTAGAGGAGTGGTGACTTCACCACTACTCCAAGTGGGAAAATGAGATTGTGATACAGAGACCACTTCTTTTTTAAAAAAAAAGCAAAGGAAGATCAGCTTTTACTTTCTATACAAAGATATTCAAACATATAAACCATCTTTTTTTTCAGTAGCTTGAATGAACAGAAAATAAAGTTATATTTGGTCTTCATCAGCAACTCTCACTTCAAGGGCATGGCCTCATACAAGGACATCAACTCTTCTAGGCATAAAGTATAGATGAGGAGCTACATTATTTTTTTTTGGGGGGGGGGGGGAGGAGAGAATAAGTGCTTTACGATGTTGTGTTGGTCAAAGACCACTTCTTATTTCCATCATTTCTTTCAATCTTACTACTTACCTGAACAGAGCACCCAAATAGGTGCAATCCTACAGATTCAAGTTAACCAATATAAATCTGCCCCTTAACTTTCTCAGTCTCTTCAGTGGTGTGATTCTTCGGCTTAATAACACCATGCCTTAGCTTACAAGAGGGAAAGAAAAGTTCTTCCATTTTTAAAGACTAACTTTTAGACTATTATACAATAAATCATATTTGACCTTTCTTCTGATAAGTCCTTCTATTAATTGCACAGTATTGCTAACACTTTAAGTACCCTCTTCTGCCTCACACTCAGACGTCAGCACACTTCTTGAATGTGTGAGAGCTGAGGTTATTTGCTGTCATGTTGTATCATTGTATTCCAAAAAGCATACCTCTTATCATTCCAAAGAGCATGAAAAGTGAAAGAGAAAGTGTGTGTCACTCAGTAGTGCCTGACTCTATGTGACCCCATGGACTGTAGTCCACCAGGCTCCTCTGTACATGGAATTCTCCAGGTAAGAATAGTGGACTGGGTTGCTACTCCCTTCTCCAAGGGATGTTCCTGACCCAGGGATTGAACCCAAGTCTCCTGTATTGCAGGTAGATTCTTTACTGAGTTACAAAAGGCATACCTCCTATGAAATTAAGGTATGTTAAATATAGGACCACCCTCAAATACCAGAAATGTTTAATAAAGTTCACTAAAACAATTTTATTCAAATCAATTTAGCTGTTTTTAAATATATATATACATTTTATATATATATATATATATATATACACACTAGTATGAAAAGGAATCCTTAATTAAGTACCTTCCTGCAAAATACTCCAGTGAAAGGGTACACAGTAGGTGAGAAAAAAGGATCATAAAAATGACTGGTTTCAATGAATTCCCTCTTTGACCATAATGGAAAGAAAACTACAGGGTAGGAAAAGATTCATGAATAGGATAAAATGTAACAAATGCATAAATCCCGATCTGAACAGAAAAAATCTTTATCTAAATGAAATTTTAAGAGTTCCATGCAGATATTTAACACAGGCCTGACTTTTACTCTAATATGTGAAGTTATCATATCAGGAACACTAGAATAGACAACTTGCATATCTTATTTGAGAATCTATAAGTTTAATGCCAAAGTACTAAACACTTCAATTGACTCACATAATTTTGTAAACAAATATACATTATTCTTTCAAGGATAATGTCACAATTAACAGATGATATATTTGATGGCACTAGCTTCTAAAACCTAACACACTACTTCTTCCTATAGCTTTGGCTTTTAGCATTCTGCTGTATCATTTCAGAAACAGAGAAAGCCAAATGAGGCAGAAAAAGACTCATGAAAACAGACCATATTCACAACAGTCTTATTTGCTATAGTAGAACCAGAAGTAACACTCCTGTTAAAGGAGTGAAACAAGTACAGAGAATGCACACAATACAGAATCAACACTAGAACACTTAATGAATGTAACAGGAGTGGAAAGCAAAAACACAGATTATACCCAAATGATAATCATCTTTTACCTGGATCTGGAGGGGCTTGTTGCTGCCAATGTGGATATGCATTTCCCCACCCTTGGGGAGCATAAGGGGCTGGAGGGCCACTGAAAAGACAGAAATCAATTTAAAAATACAATTTACCCAATCTGTAATCTTTGAGGAAAAGCCAAGAGCAAAACTCAAACTTACTGAGGGGCAGGCCCAGGCGGTCCTGGATTATAAGGTGCAGGGTTATATGGTCCCATTGGAGTTCCTGGTCCAGGAGGCCCAGGAGGCCCATGGGGGCCAGGGACACCATGGGGCCCATGGGGTACTGGTGGCCCTAAAGGATTTACTGGGCCCTGCAAAAAGACAAAAAACACAAAGACAATAAAGGTTAAACATTTCAAAGGTCAAATAACCTTTCATTTCTACCCCTTTACCTACCCACCATCGAAAATTTATGTTTTTCCTTATTCCTTACCCATGCTGCAAAAATCTAACTCTACCACATTAGTGAGACACGTAAAATTAATTCAAATTAACAGTATTAGCAAAGACCTGATACGTTTCCTTTATCTTTTACTCTTTTCAGACTACTCCCCTTTCCTTGTACAATGCTTACTTTTACTATTTCCTTTATCAAGGAAGCTTACCAAACATCGAGTTCTTCCTTTACCCCTTCTCTCTCTGCACCAACTCTACATCTACTCTCCTAACATTAAGCAGAGAAACATCTTAACAACATAGTGAAACGGCTGAATACTTTACCAATCACAAATACTAAACCAATAATATTTAGCAAGTTCTTCTTCAACAAACTAGCCCTCCTCCTAGCCCTTCTGTCACTGAACCCCATTTGAATCAATAATTTAAGTTCATTTTCTCCCTTACCCTTTATCATAATTTTCCAAATACAACAAAGATTCCCTTTTAATTAATAAGTCACAGACTATTTCATATTCATTTCATGTTACAGCATAATTAATAATGCTTAGCTGATTCCTTTTTGATAATCCAACTTCTAAGTACCACTAGATTCATCTGCTCTAAAATAAAATACAGTTAGTACTCACCATGTGCCAATTTGGACAAAAATGCTTAATCTATTTGGTTGTCAATTTTCTCACAATAAAACTAAACTTCAAGACTTTTAAAATACCTTTATTAACATTATCCCTCACTTCTATTAGCCATAACCTATTCTTTTCAGAGAGTAAAAAAAAAAAAGATTACTGGAAAAAAAGTAGCAATATTTTTAAAGGCCAGGCACGCTTTTAAGTGATAGACATACATACTTCAAACACTTCATCCCAATAATCCTGTAAGGTAAGTATAATTATCCTCACTTTCAGAAGAACGAGAGGCAAAAAAAGAGTGTAAATATCTTCCTCCAAGATCATGCAGTCAATAAATGATTGAGAGTATTTTGAACCCAGATAGCCTGACTCAGGAGTCCATGTTCTTAATTGCTTTTCCAGAACAACCTGTCTTGTATGTCCATCAATCCAAATGCAATCCTAATTTTGCTAATGATAGCAAAATCCAAAACCAAGGCGCACTAATCATTCTTCTGGCATCAATTCTTGCCATTACTGAGTCCAACAATTATTTTCCTCATGTTTTTGAATAATTATACTTATTCTCCTAATCAGAGAACTTAGAATATTTGTGTATATTTTTAAGGTATTCTTTGTGTCTTTTCTACATCTATTTTTGTTTTCCCAAGCACAGAGAACACCTCATTCAGAGCATGGCAAACATCAAGGAGAATTTTCCTATGATATTCTAATTATTATTAATAAATTAAGAAGCTCCCTCACAATGTTAATTCTTCACAGTAAAATAACCATAGCAAAGCAGTATTTTGGGGGCTCTAAAACCACAGCAGATGGTGACTTCAGCCATGAAATTAAAAGACGCTTGCTCCTTGGAAGAAAAGTCATGACCAACATAGACAGCATATTAAAAAGCAGAGACATCACTTTGCTAACAAAGGTCCGTCTAGTCAAGGCTATGGTTTTTCCTGTAGTCATGTATGGATGTGAGAGTTGGACCATAAAGAAAGCTGAGTGCCAAAGAATTGATGCTTTTGAGCTGTGGTGTCGGAGAAGACTTTTGAGAGTCCCTTTGACTGCAAGGAGATCCAACCAGTCCATCCTGAAGGAGATCAGTCCTTGGGTATTCATTGGAAGGACTGATGCTGAAGCTGAAACTCCAATACTTTAATAGTTTTGCCACCTGATGGGAAGAACTGACTCACTGGAAAAGACCCTGATGCTGGGAAAGATTAAAACCGGGAGGAGGAGACGACAGAAGATAAGATGGTTGGATGGCATCACCTACTCAATGGACATAAGTTTGAGTAAACTCAAGGAATTGGTGATGGACAGGGAGGCCTGGAGTGCTGCAGCCCACTGGGCTGCAACGAGTTGGACACAACTGAGCGACTGACCTGAACGCACTATTTCCTCATTATTTTCAAACTTGGATAGGCATCAGGATCACCTGGAACATTCTTCTAAAGTTAGACACAGGGCCCTACTGCAGACATTCTGAACTACAACTATATGTTACATGTCGAAATGTAAAGCACACAAGCTGTCTACATTCCAAATTCCCCTAGATGACTGTCTGGAGCCAGTCTAAGAAATAGGATAATGTAAAGTTCTACTGTAATGAGGGGGGAGGCTTCTGATTCTTCTTTGCCTCACCAAGGTTGCCCTTAATAAATAGTAAGCAAGTAGTAACAGTCACCAAGTAAGTCCTTAATAAATAGTTACTTCTGGTTAACTATCTATACCTTTTAGTATTTTTCACAACCCTCTACTAACCCTAATGTTATAACTCAAGTAATGTCATCTTGTCTTATTTACCCACACTCTAGTACAAGATTTTGAATACCTGTAACTATATAACTTTATTTTTTTTTACTGCTGAAGAATTTTTCTATATTGTTATGTATCTATTATGTGATCAGATCTATAATTTTAGAGTAGAAATTATCATTTTTCTTACAGGAACATATGAATTAATGTCTTATTTAACTAACAGAACCTGTGCTAACAACAAGAAGTTTAAAGCATACTCACACCAATCTTTTCTTCTATGAGTTGCCGAGCATAGTCTATTTGCTGTGGAGTGCCACGAATTGTAAATAACTTCATATTAGGATCTGCATTAGGTGGAGGATTTCTCTGAAGTTCTATTCTTGCACCAGACTGTTGGCTTATGCTTTTTATGGTTTCACCCCCTAAAATCAAAACACAGTAATTTCTTTAAAGATTCACAGGATACAAGTGGAGCTATTCAAAAGGAACTGGTTACAATTAAGGAAGTTTTGAACAGTAGCCCATCTGCCAATATGCTATTAGGAGTTTCCATTTATTCTACACTTTAAATTAACTTACATAATATATAATCAATCATAAATTTTAAAGTTTTAAGACATAATTTAATATGTCTGTACCCAACCTTGAAATGAATTATAGCATCAACACTTGGTTCAAAGAAATTGCTTTTATAAAGCAATGAGAAACTAACACAATGACTTAAAAATTCAAAAATTTAAAAAACATGCGTCAGGAAACAGCAAAGTAAACAAGAACACTCAAACCATTTTCCAGGTGAGAAGAAAAGTTTTTTACACTAATAATTAAACTGCTGATCCTCTTCTCTAGAAACCAATGTGATTCAAATCCCACTCTGGATTTAAGTGCGTATAAGGCCGTTCATTTAAGCTTTAGCTGTTACATATCAGCCATATCAGCATTAAGAACACTTTCCTACTAAAATACAGCCAAAGAAAAATCACTGCTATTCATCTACAACAGTAACAGAAATGGCATCCAGAAAATCAGATAAAGTGTTAAATTATTAACCACACATTAATAGTTTTAAATACATTGCCTTTTCCTATTATTAATCCAGTTTTCCCAGTGGGGACAATGAAATTAAATTCCTGTAGTCCACCAGGTGGTCCCATGTTCCAGTTGCCTTGACCTCTGCCTCTTCCTCGACCACCAGGTCCAGGTCCACCAGGATTACCAGCCTAAAGAGGGCAAAGACAAAGTCAGAAGAGTCAGAAACTCTTCTTTCCACAATAAAATTATCGCATGTCTATTTTCCTCAATCTGAAATTTAGACAAATTGGGAGACGCCATCCACCCCCAAATCAACAAACCACCACCATCTTTTATTCTTTTTTACTGTGGTGAATAAGCTAGTGCACTTATGTGGCTGCCCTGCTGCCCCAAGATGTGTACCTTAAAGCAATTTAAACTTTCTAGCAATTAATAAAGTTTCATCAAACAGATTTTGATTTAAAAACTATGGAGGAGGACTTCCACATTTAATGAAGGAAAATATTCTTTAAATGAAAACAATGAAAATATTAACATTCTATCAAACCTGAACACTTCGAAGAAGGTCTGTAATAATTTCTGCAGCATGTTGACATCTGTCTGGAGGTCCTGTTATTTGTGCTATTCTATCAGGTGTTGTTCCATCATCTTCAAAACAATGAAACCAAATTGTATTAACTTAACATTAAATTAATGTGTCAAAAGAAATTGCCAGCAATGCTTAGAAAATTAAACCTAAGTACTCACCTGGCTTAAACTGAATTCTAACACCAGCATCATTTTGTATTTTTTTAATCATCTCTCCATTTCTTCCTATTACGATGCCAACAGCAAATCTTGGAATGGGGACCTTATACAAAGAAAACCAAGTATCAGGAAAGCCCTTTTCTGAGAAATGCATCTGCCTCAAACCACAGAGGCACTGTTTATGTAGAAGAGGTCAAAAAAGAGACAAAATACACTGCATTCTAAGTAGAGAAGTTGGGGCGGGGGGGTGGTACAACACAATGCTAGAGAAGGCTATGTAACACAAAGCAGGAAAAATCCTACATTCTTTATGGGCGAGCATTCAACCATTTCTGAATTGGTATCTTTACTTACATCTATTCCTTCATTTCCTCCTATTCTTGACCCATACTCATTTCGAACTTCTCTGAAACCACCTTGATCACGAATTAACTCTAACACCATCTCCTTGGCTTGCTGAAGTAGAAAAAAAATTACCCAATTTAGGAAGCGTGTCTCAAAACATTGTAACTATTCATGCATGTTTTGCCCGCTGCCATCCACCCCAAACCCCACTCTGTAAAATATAAACTTAAGTTTACTTGAACTTTGTATGGGTCTCCTGTAATCCTAAGAGGTTTGTCAGCACCAGTATTCTGAGGTCCATCTTGGATCATAACCATTTTAACTCCAGCCCGTTCCTGTTAATCACAGAAATCAGATGGATTAACAAAAGGGGAGAAGGAGGAAACAGGCTTCAAAATAGAAAGTAATCATTTTACACAGTAATACCTGAAGCTGTTTAATAGTCTCTCCCCCCTTTCCAATAACTAATCCTGCTTTGCTAGCTGGAATCATGATTTCTTGAACCGCATTTCCTGGCCCATCACCATGATGGAAGCCAGGGGCTGGTCTTCCTTTTTCAACAATCTGGTCCAGTAACCGTTTTGCTGATCTGTTAACAAATTAATAGTCAATACAAAATAATCAGGTATTTCATCCATCCCAATTCAGATTTAGGTGGCCTAAAAGTAAATTTTAAAAATTCAAAGGAAATATCATCAATATCAAAAACTGAAACCATGCAATAAAGTTTCCAGGTATATAATCTTCAATATTTTTAAGAACAGTATGAAACTTCCAAGAAGACATACCCTACTTCTAAAGTTATCTCAGAATAAAGCTCATTCATCTGAAAATTAAATGATGCATTTATTTGTAAAACTTTACTTTGGTTACTCATGTTAAAATTTATTTGTTCATTCAACAAATAATTTAAATATGTCAACTATATATGCCAGGTAGTATTCTAGGTTGGGGTTACAGCAGTGAAATAAATAGTCAAGGTATTTGCTGATGTGGCTTAACTTTATTAAATAAGTAAAAACAGAAGGTTAAATAACTTATTTGTTAAGTGCGATAAAGAATATTAAAGCAAAATAAGAAGGACAGATTATATGTGTGTGTGAAGGGATGCTATTTCATGTAAAATAGATGAATGAGGAATTCCCTGGCAGTCTAGTAGCTAGGACTCTGCACTTCCACTGCAGTGGGGCGTAAGTCCAATCTCTGGTCAAGCAACTAAGATCTGGGCAGCCGCATAGTAGTGATCAAAAAGTAAATAAATAAAAATAAACAAAAACTTTACTGATAAGGAGACATTTAACCCAAGACCTGAAGTACAGAAGTGACTATGAAAACATCTGGGGGGAAAACATCTCAGGGAGAAGAACTAAAGGATTCAAATGAGAAACATTCTTGGTGTCCTGAAAAAACAGAGAAGAGGCTAAACAGAAAAGAGGCTACTAGAACAGAGTGAGCTGGGAGAATGGCAAAATATTCAGTGAGAAAGGTGGCAGGGAACCTGAGCCATGATAAAGACACTGACTTCTACTGTAAATGGTAAAGCATTGGAGGGTTTTGAACAAAGTAGTATATGAATTGACTCACATTTTAAAAGGATCGGTGTGTCTGTATTATAATTGGACAAAGCTAAACAAACAAACAAACAAAAAAACAGAAACACCTTGCAGTAACACAGGCAAATGGTGACACAAATAAGATGACATGGAAGGTGGTAAGAAGAGACTGAATTCTAAATAAATATTGAAAGGTAAAATGACCAAGAGTTGCTTATGGATAAATGAGTCATAAAAGAAAGATAAAAGTATTAGAATAATTGTCACACAATGAAATGAGATGAATTAGATAAGTAAAAGAAAACGTATGGAGTGGAAAAACAATGATTCTGTTTTTAACAAGCTAAACTTTGAGATGTGTAAAAGACATCCAAGTGGAGAGTATACTGAGGAAGCAACAGAATATATACATATGGAATTTAGGGAATGAAATCAAGGCTGAAGATTCAAGCAGTGAGCACCTTTTAAGTTTTTTGGTAAAAGAGACCTGAAAAATAGAAATGTGGGGTTCAAAGATGATTTTATGTTCAGATAGAGGGATTTTTAAAGCATGTTTTTGTGCTTTTAGAAATTTTCTAGAAAAGGGGAAAAGTAATAATGCAGAAGAAAAGTTGGTTCAATTGCAGGGACAATATCCTTCAGGAAGGAAGGACTAGAACATGATTTTCATACTTACTGGACAGACTCAGGTGTCCCAGTTAACATACAAGACCTTTCTGGAAGGCCACCACTGTCTACAAGTAAAAAGAAACAAAAATCTTAGGCCAAGAAAAGAGTAACAGCATCATTTTCACTAACAACTTTAAAAATGCTAATTTTCTTGTGATTTTGAAAATTACAGCAAGAGAATAACATTACCAGGAGCTATCTGTATTTTACATCCAGATTCCTGTTGTATGCGTGAGATCTGTTCACCTCCTCTGCCAATTACTAGTAAGAAAAAAGAAAATTATTTGCTGAAAGGTTTTAAAGCGTATTTTGATTATATCTTTTCAAAGTTTAAAAAAAATTAGATTACTTACTAAATCCAACCATTCCATCTGGAACTTTGTATTCTTCTGTCATTACAGACCTGCTAAGAAATGACAGAAACTAACATTTTTCTTCGAAGAAATGTAATTTGTTTACAAATAAAAATAAACATAGAAATCTAACAGCTTCTACAAGCTTAAACTAAGTTTGTAGGCAAACAGTTAAAATACTCAAAAGTAAAAATATGAGGCCTATGTAGCTAAAAAAGCAGATGGGGTGCAGTTCAGAATTATCATTTTAAGTTATTTTAATCCACTTTAGTTTTTCCGAAGAGTGGCTAATTCCACCCATCCTTCCAAAGTATAAATGTATTTCACTCAAAAAGAGAACTGATCATTCACTATTACCTATTTGAGTCAAGGGAAAGGATTCACACACACACAGACATGTATATTTACTACTTACTAACTTGGTTATATTTCACATTGAATTCAACTAAAACTTGCAAAATACTCTTTGAAAAGCTTTTATTTTACTATACCTTTGCTGCTGATGCATCGGTGGTAACTGTGTTCCAAAAGCTGCCAAAAAATTAAATGAAATAAAAATTATTTTATTTAAATTGACAGATGTTTAACAATATAATCATTTAAAGCAATTCTACAATTTTCCCCTGACATAAGACAACATCTTGAAAAGAATAAAATTTTATGCAGAATGCTTAAATCAACAGAGTTGGCAAGGACTCAGCGAAAGGGCAGACATTATTAGCAATAGCATTAAAAAATGTCCTTTTTCAACTGTTGTTAAGCAACAATTAAGAAATGGAACTGTAACACTTATGCTCACAGCAGCACAATTCACAATAGCCAAGACATGGAAACAATCTAACCGTCTGTTGACAGAGGAATGGATAAAGGGAGATATGGTATATATACAGAGTAAAATACTATTAGCCATAAAAAAGAATGAAATATTGCCATTCACAGGAAAATGGATGCAACTAAATATTACCATACTAAGTGAAGTCAGAAAGAGAAAGACAAATACCACATGATATCACTTATATGTGGAATCTAAAATATGACACAAATGAATCTATCTAAGAAATAGAAATAGACTCATGGGCAGAGAACAGACTTGTGATTGATGGAGGGGGGGGCTGTTGGTGGAGGAATGGAGTGAGAGATTGAGGTTAGTTAGATACAAACTATACATATATATGGATAAGCAACATGTTCTTACTGTACAGTACAGGGAACTATATTCAATATCCAATGATAGACCATAACAGAAAATATAACAACTATCCATCAATTAAAAAGTGGGAGTTATAAAACAAATTGAATACATAAAATGATTTAGCAACCAAATCTTATACACACTGCCATAACAGAACTGGAATATTATAAAGATAGAAGGTATATTTTTACCAATAAATTCATTCAAAAAGAAAATTTATGGCCTTCAAGTAACTTCAAAGATACCACAAAACATAGGAACAAAATCCTGTTATTAAAATCTAGTTTTTAACCAAATTTAAAATAAATACTTACAGTCATTTTGAGGAGCAACTTTCTTAGCATCTGGCTGATCTGCAAAATTAAAGAGTCTTTTAATTTTTTGCCAATAATATAAGACTCAGCTCCCCCATACCCAATCAAGAACACCAATATAAACATTCATTGAAATAGCTGAGGGTATGGTTTATCATTTCAACCAAAACCACCAAAACTCAGCCCAAACACTTAGGAATCAAAACAAAGAAAACTACACTTCTTTCATGCTCTTCATGTTTAAAAGATGCACAGACATTAAAAGAAAATTCTTTTTACTGAATCAAATCACTGACCTTAACGTATGTCAATCACTTTAGAATGATACAAGAAAGTATTTAGTCCATTAGTTAGCAAAACATCACATGCTAAAGTCTAATGATGCTTCCCACTGTAGGAACTGAAGATTGGAAGGAAAAGAACCTATCAAAATGTGAAATTTTGACATATCAAAAGCTGAGTGTACCTGACAATGAACACAAAGCTATGCAAAATAAGAAAAAAAAAAAAAAAATCACATTACAAGGCAATCTCAAGCTAAACTGTTCTACTGTTCCTAACCAAACATTTCACAGCATAAACAGCATAAACTTCAGCAGAAACTCAACAACTACATGACTTCATCTTTATCTACATCCTTTACACACATGAATACAATGCATTCCTTAGAATAGACAACCTACAGCTCAAAGTACTACATTCTCCTCCCCCCTTCAAACTTAAATGATTAAACATCAGAATGTTGTGCAGCAAAAATTCAGACACATAATCCAAGAAATATTTGTGTCCATTTAAGAATCCACTGGTTTATTTCACGTTTACATACTGAACACAGGTAATAAATAAAAATTCCTGCCTTTAAAAGGAGAGGGCATTCCCTCCCAGTGTGTTGTACTGCTCGGACTTGTCCAAGAGCCATCTACACATAAAATAAAAAGAATACATTACATACAACATCTGAAGCATCATTAGCTCATTTTTTTTTTTGTATATTAAAACCTCACTATAAATGTGAAAGACACTTAAATAAAAGGAAACCAAGTACTCCTGATCAAAAGCTACAAATACATTCTATAAGCTCATTCAGAATCCTCCTTTAAAAAAGAATAAAAGGGCAAAAAGAAAATGTATCAAAATTCATACATCAAATCTAAAATAAAAAATAAGTGCAGACTTCTAAGTTCAGAAGCTTCAACAATTATGTTTTTTTAAAAAATACAAAGCACTGTATATCTACTGTTTTAAGCCACATTTTGAGTTAAACCTGAAACACAAAACAAGGTACTAAAGCAAACAAAAAGGTAACAATGGTATAACCTGCAACACACGAAAGTAGCAATCTATATAGCAACTTCAACCTTTAAAGTGAAATCTAAAATAACAAAGTAATGAGAATATAGCATCTCAGATTAATTCATGTATGATGAGAAAAACCAGTGAAATGTTTCCTAGACTTTTACTTCAGTATATTAACAAGTTGTCTGTGCAAACTATCAATCTGGCACAATCCTAAAAAAGGAAAAATGATGTCTTCTACTAAGACAAAGCTGGCTGGTTAACTCAAATTTTACCTACCTTGTTTAGGTCTCTTTTTACCCCCTCTCCTTCTGAGGCCAATATAACCCTTATAATTTTAGGAACCTTATAATAAAAGCAATGTTTCAAAAAAAGAACACTTGAAAAACAATGAAAATCACTTCAACTAGACTCTGTAAAAACAATTTAAAATATTTATGGCTATAACTTACCTCCATCTTCCAAAGGTCTTTTTTGTCCCCCATAACCATAGTCATTTGAATTCAGTGACGTACCAGCATCACCTCCAATTTTTGCTGCAATCTTAAAAAACAAAAACACATCATCATCAAGGGAAGAATCATAGCTTTAACTATTCATTACTAAATTTCCTCACATATGCTAAATATCTATCACATAGGAAAATTAACTTGATAGACAAATTAATTCAATTTATTACTATTAATAACTTCAGAAAGTTAAATAATCATCATCTGAAAGTTTCTCATATATCTCTATAAAAACCAAAGTAATCAATTAGAAATCTTTAGAAGACTGACTAAACAACTTTGAGGAAAGCCTGACTCCTAATTGTATCTTCTCCATGACCGTGTGTTGGCACAGAGAGAACAGCTGTGAACAGCTTATGAGATGCTAAGGCTATGCTGCCTAACAAGGTGTAAAACGCTAGTCACATCTGGTCAGTGAAACCTTGATATGTCTAGTCCAAACTGAGATGTGCTTCAATTGTAAAAGACACACTAAGCAGTGACACTGTGGAACAAATAAAAAGAATGTAACGCATCCCCCAATTTTTATACTGAATAATTAAAATGGCAATATTTTAGGTATGTTGAGTTAAAATATGTAACTTGCATAATACTTCTTCTGGACAATCTTTTCCTAAGGAAACGAGGAGGTGTGGGGGAAACCTGGGAAGCTGTACATCTATTATAGAACCATGTCCTGGGGCAAACGTCATTTAAGAAGTACCAGCCTCACAAGTGAGGCAAAACCAGGGGATATTTATGGCATTTTTCTATGAAAAAGGAAATGGAAGTAAAATTGCTGAGTGCCAACAGACCAAACTCTACACTGTAATAAATGTTTTATACTCATTTTGTCACTGAATCACAACTATTCTATGAGATAAGAGTGTTTCTGAGATAATTATCTTACAACTGAAAAACATCTCAAGAGGCATAGTAAGTCAATGGTGAAGTTCCAATTTCTACAGAGTTCCACAGAAATTACTGAAGGGGTAGTCACCAAAGATGGGTGATGCACTGATGCTATTCTTTGAATCTTGAGTTATGTTTGAAATTTTCCATGATAAAAGTTAAAGAGAAAGTGAAACTTTTGATGACTGGAATTCTTCCAAAGACAGATCTTGATGTGGAACTAAACCAAGTGCCTCAAGCTTCACTATAATTAGAAAACTGTGAAGGATAAGTGTATTTAACAACCTGAATTCAAAATGTATCACATAAGTCCTGATCCCATATACCAAATATATTTCCTAGGGTTCCCAGATTTCCCTTTTTCTCACCTGTAAATGCAAACACCCACTACAAAGCATATTAGGATTAAATATAAAAATGCTTGATAAAGAGATATTTCTTGATGCTATAGCTTTGGTCACTCTAACCTACCTTAATCATCTTTCACTTTCTCAAAAGCTTATTTGTATATTTGATCTAATTAATATTATTTCTTTTTTTGAAAATTTTCCTCATCACACCTGAAAATTGCTTTTCCACTTCAGTTTTAAAGCAATGAGCATCTGAATTGTTGCAAAGGAACTTAGCTGCTGGGCACTGATTTATAAGGGAAGTATTCCAGGTCTGAGAAACAACAATATAAATGAAGGAAGTAGTTTAGGCTGGCAATACCTTCTGCAATTAGCTTTTATAAATACTCTGAGTTTGCAAAGCAGCACTCCTTGAACGCCAAGGAACTTCTGCATAGAAAAGGGATACTTAATTGGATACCTTCCTATTTATTGAATAGTTCTAAAAATATCCAAATGAAAAATGATCATAAGTTCACTCAGAAGAACCAGTTAACACCATCTCAAAAATTCCAAACCAATACAAAAACATTTTGTTTGTGAAGTCGCTTCGGTCCAGTTCAACTCTTTGCAACCCCATGGACTGTAGCCCACCAGGCTCCCCTGTCCATGGGATTTCCCAGGCAAGAATACTGAAGTGTTGCCACTTCCTTCTCCAGGGGAGCTTCCCAATCCAGGGATCAAACCCACATTGCCTGCATTGGCAGGCGGGTTCTTTACCACTAGTGCCACCTGGGAAGCCCCTTCACTCAAAATGTCAGTGAAGAGCTTTTAGTAAAAATACCACTTACTATTCGATCAGTTAAACATACATTTGCTAGGTTACTTCACAGGATTAATTTAAGAGAAATAGTAATCCTTAAACTTCAACCTCTAGCTATACAAAATTCTTATGAGACCAGTAGAATTACGTACAGGCAACTTCTTTGATTTTAATTTAAAATAAGAGTGTTCTATTTCGACTCTCCTTACTTCTCAAAAGGGTAAATAATTTTTGTATTTTCATTGTTTTAGCATTTTCCACCTTTTCTTCATTGATTATTCCTAGAATCCAAGAATTTTGGAGTTGAAAGAAAAGATTCAGTCATACCACCTAATTTTCAAGATTAAAACAGTAAAACCACAAACAACAACAACACACAAAAGGCTGACTTTCAGAAGTAATTACCTAAATGCCCAAAATGACTATCTCCTAAGTTTCAGTCTACATACTTCCTTAGGCTTTGGGGTCCAACCGTGATTTGGGGTCAGTGGTAATTCTGGTTTTACTGCTTTGTGTCCTTGCCAAATTTCCTTAAGCATTTTGTGCCCCATTCATCTTCTGTGTACAAAAGAGATAAATAGTTTCTCCACTTACCTTGTAGGATAATTGTAGGAATTAAATGAGTTAATACACATATGCTTAGCACAGAGCCCTAATATGTAGCATATAAATTGCCAGTTACTATGAACAAGTCAGCACACTAGAATTCAACAATAATACAGAGTTCACAAGACTTCAAACGTTTGGTTCAAAAATTTTAACAGCTTTTTATTTGTACTGATCAAGGACATACATTTTGAAAGAATGCAATTATTTTCAAAACAAAATTTCATCACTAATTCATTAAAGATATGTTGATTCAATTTAATAAATATTGAGTACCTACTATGGTAAAGGTCCTAATGGACTGTTTTCATGCACCAGAAATGTGAAGAGGCTAGAAATATTACCAGGCCACCATTTCATTAATATTGTCCCCCTTTCTATAGTCCTAAGTCTTTATTATTATAACCAAGTTTTGCTATCCTATCTCAAAACATGTTACTAAAAAAATCCCCCAAAACAAAACTCTCAAATGCTAGTTTTCACTGAAGAGAATAATGGCAAGTAAAAAGTCAAGAGTTCTATTTAAAAAATTTTTCTTTTTATTCAAACATAGTAGTCTGAATTACTTTCACAATTATCAAGGAAGAGGTTTGAAGAATTGAGTACCTAACAACTAATTTAATAGTTGTTTAGAGGGGAAGTGATGAGGATTGATCATCTTGCTTAACCTGCAATCTACTACTGAGTCTCAGATTTACGTTTATCTTCATATAACTTTAAGGGGAAAAAAGTAGATATATATTAATTTTCTAATGTTTCAGGGACAGAACTTATTATCAGTGTGATCACTAAATATCTAGTCAAAGAATTTCAACATCACCCTCTACAGATAAACTTGAAATAGCCAAATATAATTTCTAAACTATACCGTTGGAAACCCTAGAGAAGCAATTTGGTGCCCTTGTGTTAGATTTGGCTCACAGAGTATTATAAAATCTGAAAACTTCACATTTAAAAAAAAGTTATTAGAATTCTCTGGAAAAAAGACTGGGCTCCACTGCCAGATGGCAACAATCAGCTGGAGTAAAGGCTACTAGCTTTAACTAGGTCCAGGGTCCAGGGACCCTAATCATTTGTGCTGCTTTCCTGCATAACAAAGAACTGTTCAGCTGAAATGCCAATAGATTTCCCACCAGTATGAAGCTCTTTGAAGGCAATAAGCTGTTCTTATACCTCTTCCTTCCAAAGAACATAGCATAATACTCTGGACAAAGAAAAGAAACTTAAGGTTAGATGGAGATTTTGGAAATACAATTCAGAATCCATTTAATACAAATAAGGAAAAAAGGAGTTCAAATACTAACCTAACTTGTTCCTTCAGCCCAAACACCTTTCCCTATACTCCACCTGAGTAATCAGACAAGCAGCTACTACCAATATATATGGAAGCATTCTCAGATACAATGAGAAGGGGCAATTCAACTCAAATGCTAAACTTGAGAATATCAGATTTAAGATCAATTCTGAAGAAATAATCAAATCACAGCAAAGACACTTGTAAACTCTATTGCAGGACAAGAAATCCATAGTTTGAGGACAATTTCTGTATTAAAAAAGCATTCTAACTTGGTAAGAAGATTGTCTTCGGAAGTTGTATCCATCTGCACTTTTTCTTACCTCATTTCCCACCCTCCTTCCCCACCCAACCCTATCCTCCAATGACTTCACTCTCAGGTTCTCATTTTCCCCCAAACCCCCATACCTTAAGTGCATGCTGCTTCTTTATCCACTGGTCAAACTCTCATTCTTTAATGCCTTGCTTAAAATACCAGTCCTTTGGCCGTAGGGTACCCCACTCCCTTGTGATGTGTACAGTACCTGATTCACAGCAGAACTCTATAAATGTTTACAGAACAAATGGACGAATTAACAGTGCCTAAATCTTGTCTACGCTTTGAAAGCATTAATCAGATACTACTACTCTTTTGCATTTGGTTCCTTGACTATATCATGGCTTCCTAGAAAGCAAAAAAATCCAATTAACACATTTAAAAAAGTCTCCAGTATGGAAGTAGAGTGTACGAAACAAATTGATTTAATGCGCTGCCTGAATAAATTAATTCTGGTTGAGTCTTCTCTAAAAACCCCTCTAACAGGGTTGCTGTGATTATATTAACGTCTCAGTCACAATTTCAAACACGTTCAGAAATAGTAAATAAAAATTAGGTAAACAAATCGAATAATTAAGTGTTAATGGTACCCCCCCTGCTGACTACTTGGAAAATTTCTGATTATAAACAAGTACAGGTACATTTTTATTTATAATGTGTTCACATTATAAAAATATGAGCGATATGCTACATCACTGCAGATTTTATGGATTTTGAGTCAAATGATCCTTTAATCCAACTAGGGGTTAAAAAAAGTAAGTTAACGAAGTGAACTCCTAATGTTATCAAAACATACCACAAAATTGATTTCTGATTACCATTAGCTTAACACTGTATTCCAAAAATGTCTAGCATCTAATACGCATCGTGTCACGAAAATTCTTACTTTTGCTTTAGACACAAGTTCATACCGACATCATACATTTGAAAATTACATGAAAACTACATGAAGGTAAAGTTCAAATTAAATCCTAGAGTACAACGGTACTTCAATCCTAGAGTACAACGGTACTTCTTTTTTTTAACAGCTCCCGTTTGGGAAAGTGCCTTCAGGGCAAATGTACGCACCTACGTAATACAAAGAGTCCTGGTCAGTTTACGACTCTGAACTGAGAGGCAGATTCAAATTGAAACTTCGGGTTTGAGGACCTGAAGCCATTTTGAGAAGAGGGAAGGAGCCATAGAACACACGTAAATCCCGCCCTAAGGAGGGATTCCAGCCCGGGATACTAGTGCTATCGTAATTCTCTTCCTTGAATGTGTGAAAGTGAATGATACCGAAAGATTAACTGCGGGAGAGTTCGAATGGGCTGGAAGCTCTAAAGACTGCTTTAATGACAGGTCCCATCCCTTACTATGGCTCCTACAGACGGACCCTAGTCCTTTCCCAAACTCCTTACTAGAAGCTTCTATGCTATTGTGTAAAACTACGCGCGCTTTATCCCATGGAGGTGGATGTTCACTCAGAAGAAAAGGAAATGCTAACTCCTTGGAGAAAAAGGCGCGAGTACCGCAAAAGCTGGAAAATAACCTAAAGCCATCTTCGCAAAGCATGCGTTGGGGTTCAAAGTGGCTCACACACTAGGAACACAAAACCCGAATTCCAGCTTCTAATCAGTATTACCAACGTGGAGAAACGTGAGTCTTCTCACATTTCAGAGGCCGGAAGGGCACTTCTTTCCTCTTCCTAACGCGCGAAGAAGTAGCGGCCTACTCAGCCAGCGGCCAATTACCGTGAGCTGTCGGGATCCCGCCGCGCGGTCCTGACTTACCTGCCGGGCTCTCTGCAGTGCATCTTTGAAAGCATCGTTAACTCCTCCACCACCACCGCCGCCGCCTCCGCCACCGGCTGAGCCAGAGGAGGGTGGAGGCACTGTTGAATAGTCTGCCATGCCTACACTACAGTGGCCGCTACCGATTCTTCCCAGTGACCTCTCAGCCAACTGCTAAGAAAGAAAGAAAATGGCGGCCGTCAAGCCTGTATCGCATTCTTGTGCGACCATCGTGCCGTAAAGGGGCGGAGACTGAGAGACGAAAATCTCGCGATGTTTTGAGGCAACGCGCTTGCTTGGGGGAGAGAAGCTAGAAAAAGGCGAGGAGACATCGCGATAATTGTCTTTATATTTCGCGAGAATGGGGTTTACTTTGGCACCGCCTCTTTGTGCATCCTTGGGCTAAGGTGGTACGGTTTTCCTACTTGGGTGCTGGGTAAAGACTCGTGGGGCGACTGCGGTTAGGTTTAATTTTTGAAAGCCTGGAGGAAAGGAGTAGTGTCTTATTGGCTACCGCCGCAGGGAGTAGAGTGGGTGGATTTTTTCACCGAGGGTCATTCTGTTGTATCCTTGGGGAAGCAGGTGACGTCGACCGGCGCAACGGCGGCGCAACAGTGTCTCGTGAGCGCTGCGGCCGGGAGTGCGCCTGGGAGAGAGCGCGCCCCGGCCGCCGCCAGGTGATGCTGCCGAAAACGTCCGCCCGGCCTAGCGGGAATGCGGCCTGATTTTCAGGGTAGTAAAGTGTCCCTGTATTTTACTTCTAGATTGTCAGTTTGCAGTTTTATCACAAGCTGGGTGAATCCAGGCTGGAGGCCTTTAGTTCTAGAGTTTATTTCACAAAGGTTTTGTGTAAATATTTTGGATGAGGCTGTGACGACATGATTGCTCATTTCTTTAATTTTTAGAAATGTGATTGTTCCTAAAATGTAGTTTTTGCCGGACTTAGTAGCCTAATATCGTATGTAACCATGGCCAGTTTTATTGAGGTCCTTATAGTTATGAACAGCATCCATTCTTTGACAAAAATTCTTTGTGGCTTCTTAAAAGCACAGTTTCTTAAAAACACTGTTTCTTAAAAACAGTGTCCCAAACCTGTGAGAACTCAAATGTAATTTATTGTCATCTGGGGACTAGGTGGTTATTCTTATGTTATCTTAGGTTACCAGATAATTTCCTTTTGGAGCATATCGTCACACGTAATTTACTGCAGTGGTAGTAGTAGTTTAGACTCATTAGTAATAGTTTCAGACACATTACAATGCTTTAGGAGTCTATTACAGTGATTGTATTTCCCTCTCTGCCCCCATGTTTTCCTCTTAGGTAACAAAGAATGAGATAAAATGAACTTTACCAACTTTGGTATTTTGTTTAATGAATCAGTTCTCAAAGTTTTTGTTTAGTCTCTCAGTCATGTTTGACTCTTTGCGACCCCATGGCCTGCAGCACGCCAGGCTTCCCTGTGGGTCACCGTCTTAAGGAGTTGGCTCAAACTCATGTCCATTGAGTTGGTGATGCCATCCAACCATCTCATCCTCTGTCATCCCCTTCTGCCTGCAATCTTTCCAGCATCAGGGTCTTTTCCACTGAGTCAGCTCTTCTCAGCAGGTGGCCAAAGTATTGGAGCTTCGGCATCAGTCTTTCCAATGAGTTTTCAGGATTATATCCTTTACAACTGACTGGTTTGATCTCCTTACTGTCCAAGGGACTCCCGAGTCTTCTCCAGCACCACAGTTCTGAAGCCATCAGTTCTTTTTTATTGTCCGGCTGTCACATTCATACATGGCTACTGGAAAAACCATAAGTTTGACTATACGGGCCTTTATGGGCAAAGTGATGTCTCTACTTTTTAATACGCTGTTTAGGTTTGTCATTACTTTTCTTCCAAGGAGCAAGCATCTTTTAATTTCATGGCTGCAGTCACCATCTGCAGTGATTTTGAAACCCAAGAAAATAAAGTCTTAACTGTTTCCATCCTTTCCCCATCTATTTGCCAGGAAGTGATGGGACTGAATGCCTTGATCTTTATTTTTTGAATGTTGAGTTTTAAGTCTCATGCTTTTCCATTGCTAGTCTTAGAGTAATGGAGAGAAATATGTGCTGCAGTCTTCCTTACAGCTGAAGTTAATGTGTCCACTTGCTCAAGGCCCAAAATAAGTCGGATAACAGTTACATGCACGAAGATACATGTGGGCCATCATTCTCGTATTATTAGCTTTTCCTACCATCTTACAGCTCTGATTATCTTTTTCAGTGTGCAGCATGGCCATCTATTTCGCTATAGGGGAGATTTGTATTTGGAAAAGCAGTGCGTGTGTTGGGCTACAGATTTAAGAGTAACCGGTAAAAAGAAAATCTAAAAACAGTGTTGGGTGGTATTGCTAAATAGACTTCCTTCAGTTGTTCTTTGAGAAAGTCTGCCCAATAAATGGCATTTATTAGTCCGTAATTGATTTTTTTGATACTTTGTTAATTAGACATACACCAGTTAGTCCTTATTGACATAGTCACAGAGTGCTATAATTTACCTCCAAAGAGATAGACTTTATGTATACCACAATTTTAGTTACCTCTAAATATTAAAACATCTATTTCTGCTTTATTGACTGTGCCAAAGTCTTTGTGTGGATCACAACAAACTGTGGAAAGTTCTTTAAGAGATGGGAATACCAGACCACCTGATCTGCCTCTTGAGAAACCTGTATGCGGGTCAGGAAGCAACAGTTAGAACTGGACGTGGAACAACAGACTGGTTCCAAATAGGAAAAGGACTACATCAAGGCTGTATGTTGTCACCCTGCTTATTTAATTTATATTCAGAGTACGTCATGAGAAATGCTGGGATGGATGAAACACAAGCTGAAATTAAGATTGCCGGGAGAAATATCAATAACCTCAGATATGCAGATGACACCACCACCCTTATGGCAGAAAGGGAAGAAGAGCTAAAAAGCCTCTTGATGAAAGTGAAAGAGGACAGTGAAGAAGTTGGCTTAAAGCTCGACAATCAGAAAACTAAGGCATCCGGTCCCATCACTTCATGGCAGATAGATGGGGAAACAGTAGAAACAGTGGCAGACTTTATTTTTTGGGGATCCAAAATCACTGCAGGTGGTGACTGTAGTCATGAAATTAAAAGGCGCTTGCTCCTTGGTAGAAAAGCAATGACCAACCTAGGCAGCATATTAAAAAGCAGAGACATTACTTTACCAACAAAGGTCAGTCTAGTCAAGGCTATGGTTTTTCCATTAGCTGTGTATGAATGTGAGAGTTGGACTAGAAAGAAAGCTGAGCATTGAAGAATTGATTCTTTTGAACTATGGTGTTGGAGAAGACTCTTGAGAGTCCCTTGGAGTGCAGAGAGAGCCAACCAGTCCGTCCTAAAGGAGATCAGTCCTGAGGTTCATTGGAAGGCCTGATGTTGAAACTGAAACTCCAATACTTTGGCCACCTGATGCAAAGAGCTGACTCATTTGAATAAGACCCTGAAGCTGGGAACGATTGAGGGCGGGAGGAGAAGAGGGTGACAGAGGATGAGATGGATGGCATCACCGACTCAATGGATATGAGTTTGAGTAAACTCCGGGAGTTGGTGATGGGCAGGGAGGCCTGACCCCCTGCAGGTGTGCTGCAGTCCATGGGGTCGCAAAGAGATACTACTGAGCGACTGAACTGAGCTGAAATATTGAAAATAAGTAAAGGCCTCCATTTCTAGTTTTTTTTTTTTTGGTAAAGCCTCCTGGAAGTATGGATATTCTAGGATGGGAACCATTTGAAATCAGTTAAGACCAGGATTTCTTTGCCTCAGCACTGTTGACACTTTATGACCAGATGCTTTGCTTTGTAGCACTACTGTGCATTGTAGTTTGTTTAGCAGCATCCTTCGCCTCTAACCATGGATGCCAGAAGAATATACACCCCCATACCAATTATGACAACCAAAAATGTCTCTAGATATTGTAGCTGTCCCCTGGGAGGCAAAATCACACCACAATTAGGACCACTGGTCAGCCTTAATAGCTGCCCCTGATTTTCCATCAAGAAGACGTATTTACCAGCCTTCAGCGGTATAATCTACATGCCACTACTTTTCGCCTCCACTGCTCCTGAATTACCATCACCACAGTCCTGGGCTGTTATAGTAGCATTCTAGATTTTCTGCTTTTATATCTCTTCAATTTACTTTTAAAAATTATGAAAGTTTGTACAACGAAGTATGTAATTATATATGTAAGTTCTCAA